GAGAGAGAGAGCATAAGCAGGGGGAGCAGCAGAGGGAGAGGGAGAAGCAGGCTCCCCACCAAGCAGGGAGCCCGATGTGGGACTCGATCCCAGGACCCTGGGAACATGACCTGAGTCGAAGGCAGATGCTCAACTGAGTGAGCCACCCAGGTGCCCCCCTTTTTGTAATTAAAAGATTTTATTTATTAATTTGACAGAGAGACACAGAGAGAGGGAACACAAGCAAGAGGAGTGGGAGAGAGAGAGCATAAGCAGGGGGAGCAGCAGAGGGAGAGGGAGAAGCAGGCTCCCCACCAAGCAGGGAGCCCGATGTGGGACTCGATCCCAGGACCCTGGGAACATGACCTGAGTCGAAGGCAGATGCTCAACTGAGTGAGCCACCCAGGTGCCCCCCTTTTTGTAATTAAAAGATTTTATTTATTAATTTGACAGAGAGACACAGAGAGAGGGAACACAAGCAAGAGGAGTGGGAGAGGGAGAAGCAGGCTTCCCTCTGAGTGGGGAGCCTGATGTGGGGCTCAATCCCAGAACCCTGGGATCACAACCCAAGCCGAAGGCAGATGCCTAACACCTGAGCCACCCAGTCGCGCCTTGAGTTGGTTCTAAATCAGCCAGTAATCGCTAAGCATAAACCAGGAGCTGAGCTGAGAACTCTCAGTAACATGGGCCACTCACACAGCTCCGTTCTTCGCGCAGAGAGAACAATAAAACTCACACCTCAATCATCTTAGGAAGTAGCAGGCTGCTTGTCGCTGGAGGCATGCAAGATGTGTCAGGACATTGTAAAGAGGATTTGGACTGTGATGAGGAGGTGGGTGAGTTGAGAGAACCTTAAAAGTCACTCATCATCTTGAGGGGCTGGGTAAAAGCAAAACTCCAGGCCCATGATGTCATGGCTAGACTGAGAGTTAGAGATGATGCACCCCTATAGTGGGGCTGGTGGGGCTTTGGGAAAAGCTTCATCAGGGAAGCCTTCCTGGAGGAAGTGGCATGTGCACTGGCCTTTGAACTTCAGCTCCTCTGCAAAAAGCAGTTGGCTAACTGCTTTGCAGGAGGGACAGGCATCCAAAGACATGTTGTCAGATGGCATTCCACGTCTTGCCGTGTGTCTTGCATTAGCTTGTCCCTTGCTGGCTCGTTGCACTGTGGTTTAGTGAGAAGAGTAACACCAGCAGCCCCGTTCTTACTTCCTCCTCATTCAGGAACTGAGGGAAAGGGCCTGTTGATCCCAGTCTGTGGTCTATAAGGCTGATCTCACTAGAGGGCTCTGACTGGTTCAGCTCAGGTCACATGCCCATCTGGTGGCCCAGTCACTGTGGACATGATGATGGCAGAGATGCCATGGAGCCTAATCATTTAGGCTTAAATATTTGGCTGTATAAAATGAGGGTAATATTCCAACCTGTAAGGATTTCTGTGAGGATGAAAAGAGTTAAATGAGATAATGCATGCCACGTGCCTGGACTATAGTAAGTGTTTGATACAGGCTCACTGCTGTCATCCATCATCATGATTCCCATTCTTCACCCACACTGCATCCTTTGACCCATTTCCTTTTCCGGTCATTCTGTAGGTGAGAATGCCCCGTTCTGGTTTGGCAGTTTCCTGAATCACAGGGAAGCTAAGCTAACATCAGGGCAGCCAGAATCCATTCCCAGGACACGTTCCCCTTGGCCTCGGAGCCAGGATTTCCAACAAAACTCTTCCTAGAAATTAATCCTCCTGCCCTCCAATCCCCATACCTCTGTGTGGCTCATCTCAGGGGGAAGATTCTCATGGGAGGAGAGAAGAGCTGACCCCTATTGTCTGGTTCCTTCCCAGGCACAGTGCCGTCAAGGCTGACGAAGCTGCTGGCACAGCTCCCTTCCACCTTGACCTCTGGTTCTACTTCACCCTGCAGAACTGGATTCTGGACTTTGGCCGCCCCATTGCCATGGTGAGTGTGAAGCCATGGACAGAGCCCCTGTCAGCAGTGAGGACATGGTGTGACTTGAATTAGCCAAGTGACCTTAGACAAGTCACTTTCCCTATAGTAAACTGCAAGAATAGGCCTGGATGCTTACATGTCCTTTAGCTCTGTGACTGTGTCAGCAAGCGGGGGTCCTGGGGGCTGCATAGTCATATTGTGCCCTGACTCTCACAGGGGAACTGCTGGCTCTAAACAGGAATGCTGTACACTCCCCACCCCAACGCCTTACACCCAGGTTTAACCCTATCACCAAGTTATACCACGGGGTGTGGGAAAGAAAGCAGAGCATCCCCATGGCCTTGGTATAATATTGTTTCTCTGGAGGTAAAGAGTATAGGCTGATCTTGCATGCTATGTGTGACTCTGAGCCTCAGGTCAGTCTTAGTGCTATCTCATGCCACCATCCCCTTCCCTCCAGGATATTCCATGCATCAGTGGACAGTGGTGGCCTCCAGAGAGATTAATACTGGAAGAGCACCCAAGCCCCTGGCTTGTAATAAGGACATAGGTAGATAGATAAATAGGTAACAGAATGTGAACGAATTGAGTGAGACACCACCATGAACCAAGTTGTTAATTTGTGTGTACGTGTGTGTACAATAATCATATCCAACACTGGAACAGACATCTTGCACCTGCTAGTGATAAGCAAATTAGCGAAGCCCTTTTGGAAAGCAGTTTGTCAAGATGATACCTAGACACCTAGAACAGTGCCTAGCGTAAGTGCCTCCTGGGTTTTTGTTTTTATTATTTCTTTTAAGATTTATTTATTTTAGAGAGAGAGTGCACTGGTGTGCACGCATGAGTGGGGGAGGGGCAGAGGGAAAAAGAGAATCTTTTTTTCCTTTTTTTTTTAATTAACATATAGTGTATTATTTGTTTCAGGGGTGCAGGTCTGTGAATCATCAGTCTTACACAGTTCACAGCGCTCACCACAACACATACCCTCCCCCATGTCCATCAGCCAGCCGCCCCACCTTCCCCCATTGCTCCCCCCCAGCAACCCTCAGTTTGTTTCCTGAGATTAAGAGTCTCTTATGGTTTGTCTCCCCCCCAGTCCCATCTTGTTTTATTTTTCCCTCCCTTCCCCTATGATCCTCTGTCTTGTTTCTCAAATTCCTCATATCATTGAGATCCTGTGATAATGTCTTTCTCTGATTGACTTATTTCGCTCAGCATAATACCATCTAGTTCCATCTACATTGTCACAAATGGCAAGATTTCATTTCCTTTGGTGGCTGCATGGTATTCCATGTATATACACCACGTCTTCTTTATCCATTCATCTGTTGATGAACATCATAGTTTGGCTATTGTGGACATTGCTGCTATAAACATTCGGGTGCATGTGCCCCTTCAGGTCACTACATTTGTATCTTTAGGGTAAATACCCAGTAGTGCGATTGCTGGGTCGTAGGGTAGCTCTGTTTTCAACTTTTCGGGGAACCTCCATGCTGTTTTCCAGAGTGGCTGCACCAGCTTGCATTCCCTCCAACAGTGTAGGAGGGTTCCCCTTTGGGAGAGAAAGAATCTTAAGTAGACTCCTTGCTGAATATGGAGCCTGATGCAGAGCCGATCTGAGGAGCCCGAGATCATGACCAGAGCTGAAATCAAGAGTCAGTCTCTCAACCAACTGAGCCACCCAGGCACCCCTCAATGCACTTTTACTGAAGAAACAACGATCATCATAATAATAATGGGAAAGTAGAAATAGTGGTTAACGTACACTGAGTGTTCACTCTGTTCTAAACTCTGTATGTGTTTAAACTTCCTGAATCCTCAGCTCAGCTCTCTTACTAATCTCAATTTTATAGATGGAAAGACTCAGGATAGAGAGGGCAAGTCACTGGCTCACTGGCTTAGGGTCACCCAAGTAGCATGTGGAAGAGCCAGCATCAGCACATAGGTATCCAGCCCCAGAGCCTACCCCCTTCCTGTCATGGATATATCCAGAACCCTAAGATGTTCATCCCTCCTGACGCAGTAAGACCCCTTCCAAGAGTCTGCCCTGAAGGTGTAATCAGCAAGAAGACAATCGCCTCTCTACTGCAGTGTTGCTTACCTCGGACGTGACTTCAGTGTCCAGCGGTAGGGACTGAGTAGAACAACTTTCGGTATCTGGTATAGAAAACATTATCTGGCCACGACACAGGAATCCCAGGTGGCCTAGAGCAGCTCTAAGTGCCCTAGAGCAGCCAACGACCCAGGTTGCTCTAGGAGAGGAGAGGTGTGGCAGTGGTGTGCATAGCACCTGACTGCGTGTCAGTGACCGTCTCAACACCTGTACACATGGCTCAGAGACTGGAAGGGGATTACGGAAAGCTCTTCTGGAGCGCCTGGTTGCTCAGTCTGTTAGGCAGCCGACTCTTGATTTTGGCTTAGGACAGGATCTCGGGGTCCTGGGATCGAGCCCCGCGTCAGGCTGTACACTCAGCTCAGAATCTGCTTGGGATTCTCTCCCTCCCCCGGCTCATTCTTGCATGCGCTCGCGCTCTCTCTCTCTCTCTCTCTCTCTCAAATAAATATTTAAGAAAAATTTTTTAAAAAGCCATTCTGGCTGCACTGTGGGTTTGGGGTGGATGCTGATTCTCCTTCCTGCAGACTCTGTAAGGCTTACGTGCTGTCTAAGTGTGGGAGAAAGAAGAAAAACAGCCAGGAGTCAGGGTACCTGGTTACTTCTGTGGGTGATTTTAGGCAAGTCACTGTCTGCTGGCCTTTGGTTCTCTCATCTGTAAGGAGGCTGGTTGGCCTGGCTGCTCCCAGCCCCATTCCGGCATGAAGTCCCACAGATTGGGGGCCAAAGGAGCTGCCCATCACACTGATGCTTTGGAGAGGGGAAAATGAGGCCTAGAGCGGGCTCATGGCTGTCCCCTGCTCTCACTCCTTAGGACTCAGCCACAGCTGGCCACGGTGGTCTCCTGCAGGATGAATCCCTTCCGCAGCCTGCCCAGCAACATCAGTGGGCTTGTTAGGAGAGCATACATTTGAGAAGCCCATATATACACTGGAGCTTTTGACATTCCCGACATCCCGACATGACGACATTCCCGAATCTGTAATAACGAAAACCGAACTCGTGCAAGTTATAAAAGTAGTATGTAGTGGTTGTAACAAGTCAGTAATGCCTGGGTGTATGCAGAGGTGTTAGAGTCTCCCTTTCCAGGCCCACCCCTGACGTTTGGAGGTATAGGCACCCGCCCCTTTCTCTGCTTCTGCAAGCATATTATATATTCTTTTTCCTTTTCTAACAGAAATGAGATCTTACTTTATGCCTCACTCCACAACTTGCTAGCTTTACCTTAGAACACACGATGGCTGTCTTCCCATGTCGGTAGCTATCAGGTGTCATTTCTGATGATGGCTACTTCACCTGCTGTAGCAAAGATTCCCTGTGATGTATGGAGCTTGTCCTCGTTAGTTGAAGAGTCAGCCTGTCCCTAGTATTTTGCTGTCACAAAGAGTATTTCAGCCATTGTATGTATCTTTTTTTAAAGAAATTTAAGTATAATTGACATACAGTGTTATGTTAGTTTCAGGTGTGCAACATAGTGACCTGACAGTTCTGTACATCATGCTATGCTCGCCACACTAAGTGTGGGCACCATACTGCACCATTTTGGCACTACTGACTCTGTTCCTTATGCTGTACTTTTCAGCCCCGTGGCTTATGTATTTGATAACTGGAAGTTTGTGCCTCCTAGTCTCCTCCACCTGTTTTGCCCATCCCCCAACTTCCTCCCCTCTGGCAATCACCAGTTTTGTTCTCTGTATTTATGATTCTGTTTCTGTGTTTGTTTGTTCATTGAAATTTGTGTTTTTTTAATACCACATATAAGTGAAATCACATGGCATTTTTCTTTCTCTGACTTATTTCACTTAGCATAATACCCTCTAGGTCCATCAATATTGTTGCAAATGGGAAGATTCTTTTTATGGCTGAGTAATGTGTTGGCAAGGATGAGATGAAAAGGGAACCCTCATGTGTTGTTGGTAGGAATGCAAATTGGTGCAGCCACTGGGGAAAACGGTATGGAGTTTCCTAAAAAAAATTAAAAATAGAAATACCATCAATCCAGTAATTCCATTACTGGGTATTTACCCAAAGAAAATGAAAACCCCAATTCAAAAAGGTATGTACCCCGCTATTTATAATAGCCCAATGATGGAAGCACCCTAAGTGTCCATCAATAAATGGATGGATAAAGAAGATGTGGTATATATATCCAACATATCTATCTTGATATAGATGAAGGTATAGAGATACACACCGAGTAAGAAAGAAAGAGAGGAACAGACCCTGTGTCCTGGGAGTTTTATATTTGTGGGTTAGTTTTAACAAGCATGGCTTTTTTTTTTTTTTTTAAGATTTTATTTATTTATTTGACAGAGATCACAAATAGGCAGAGAGGCAGGCAGAGAGAGAGGAAGGGAAGCAGGCTCCCCGCTGAGCAGAGAGCCCGATGCGGTGCTCGATCCCAGGACCCTGAGATCATGACCTGAGCCGAAGGCAGAGGCTTTAACCCACTGAGCCACCCAGGCACCCAGCATGGCATTTCTGAGTTAAAAGAGATAAACATTTATTTTTTTTATTTTTTAAAGATTTTTTTTTCATTATTTATTTGACAGAGACCACAAGTAGGCAGAGAGGCAGGCAGAGAGAGAAGAGGAAGCAGGCTCCCCGCTGAACAGAGAGCCTGATGTGGGGCTCGATCCCAGGACCCTAGGATCATGACCTGAGCTGAAGGCAGAGGCTTTAACCCACTGAGCCACCCAGGCGTGCCCCAAGAGATAAACATTTATAATTTGGATTGAAACTTGTAGTCATTGCCTGTGTTCTCAATGAACAGATCCTGGAAGTATAGTTTTGGGGGTCATAATATGTTTTGACTTTGCACGGGGGTTTTCACACTGACCCTGACAAGGCCAGGACTCACTTGGGCAGACCAGTAAGAGAGGACTTCCCAGGCAGAGGAACTGTCCCTGGCCTGCCTCCTATCCCAGGGAAGGTAAGAAAGAAAGAACTGAAGCTACTTTGTAGGACTCACTTACTTTCTCCTTGTTTCCTAATGTACGCTTTTGACCTGATTTGGAAGCAGTCCTCCTGCAGTCCCTCTGCTCAGTGCATTCAGCATGGGGCCTCGTGGTCAGGAGACCTTTTCATCATCATAGGACTTGAATGGTCAGACCCCTAAGGGCCCAAGGAGACCACCTAGGTCACATCTCTTATGTTGCAGATGGGGAAACCAAGGCCTGTAGAAGAGAAGGACTTGCCAGACGTCACCATGAAGTCCCAAATCAGCCTCCAGCTCCCAGACCAGTACCCAGGGACATTCATTTAGTACCCATTGAGGGTGGGGCCCAGAGTCAGGCCCTGGATTTGCATCTACTAGTGTGCCTGGGGACAGGTCCATTTACCTTCTTTGGGACTCAGTTTCTCTGTCTGGGTACCGCAGGGCTGCCCAGAGGATCCCCATAGATCACAAAAAGAGCTAAGTGTGTGTGGAGGAGGTGGGGGCTGACTCCCTGAGGGCCTTGTGGGGCTCTGCCTGGGTGAATACCATTCCTCCCTTTGCTCCCCAGCTGGTGTTCCCTCTCGAATGGTTTCCACTCAACAAGCCCAGCGTGGGGGACTACTTTCACATGGCCTACAACATTATCACGCCCTTCCTCCTGCTCAAGGTACAGTTCCCGGCTCCCTGCCCTCCCTTCCCACCCTCATTCCTTCCTCCTTCTCTGGCAGGAAGCTGGTGCCAAGCCCTGGGAGTCCTGGAAGCAGATATGGAAGCAGGCCTACCCTGCCCGAGCTTGGGGGGTGAAGGCTGTGATCAAGGGACACACCAAAGGCCTGGCCAGGAGGGATGGAGAAGCCCTCCCCAAGGAGGGATGTTTGATTTGGGCTTCAGCTTTGTGTGCCAGGGGATGATGTAGGAGAGGTGGTCAAGCAAAAGGACCTGAAGACAGGGTCATGCTGTGAAACTACATTTGGGGAGGCTGAGGCAGAGGGAGTGAGTGGGTTGGTTGTCTGGGGAGAAGTCGGGAAGGCAGCTAGGGTCCAGGTGGAAGCAACAGAGGTGACCTCTACTCTGGCCTGGGGATCTGGGACTTGGAATGACCCTGGGAGCACAGAGCTAGCCAGGGCTGCCGGCTTTGCAGGTTCAAATAAGGGCTCTTAAAACAACTATCACCACCTACCATCCCCATCATTTTGTTTCTAGAAAAATGTGTCTAATCACCAAAAGTAAGAAGGGTATAAAATTAGAATTCAGAGGAGTCTTAAAGTTTCCTTTCCAAAGCATCCTCCCCACCCCACTTCCCTGACATTTTCTTGGTGTTTACCATGGACCAGTGGCTCCAAAATGAGCGGGTCCTGCAGCGCTGAACCAGACCAGCCATCCAGAGGCCCGGCTGAGAGTGGGGAGAGGCCAGGCCTGGGCGCCCGTGCTGAAGGCCTGGCTGTCACTGCTGGCACAGGGTCAGTGTGCGACCTTTGGCGGTCAGTTCGTCCCTCTGCAGCTGGGGGTGCTCTCTGAGGAACGGGGGTGCTGGTTCCCAACTCATGCTGGCTTCATGGGGATCCTAGGAGACTGTGGAGGCTGGCTCAGCCTGCTGCAGGGACCCAGTTTCGGAGTGACTCTTCAGCGGTGGCATCCATCGGACCCCAAGCATGGGGGAGGGACTAGGGGCTGTCTCCGGTTGCGGTGGAGGCTGAGTCACGCTCTCCGGCGCCCCTCTGACCCCAGCTCATGGAGCGGTCCCCTCGCACGCTGCCACGTGCCATGATCTACCTCAGCATCATCACCTTCGTCATGGGCGCCAGCATCCACCTGGTGGGCGACTCTGTGAACCACCGCTTGCTCTTCAGCGGCTACCAGCACCACCTGTCCGTCCGGGAGAATCCCATCATCAGGAACCTCAAGCCAGAGACGCTGGTGAGCCACCCTCCCCAACCCCGCATGTAAAGCCTTGTTGGCACAGCCTGTCCCGGAGGCCAGAGAGCTGGCCCCCAGCCATCACTGCGCCTGACCCACTAAGCCTTCTGCTAGGGGAGGGCACTGTACCCGCTGAGCTATGATGCCTCTGACAGTTCGGGAAGGGGCCCCTGACTGGCTGCCCCCCGGGCGCCCTGCAGTAGAGGGCAAGACTGAGGGTGGGGAGTGAGGGCTGCTGGGGGAAGGGCCGGGCCCAGGCAAGGGTGGGCCACCTGGGCCCCAGCACCCGCCTTGACGCACCTGCTGTTCTCACCTGCCATGCCCACCGCCCTCAGATCGACTCCTTCGAGCTGCTCTACTACTACGACGAGTACCTGGGCCACTCCATGTGGTGAGTGTCGGGGCCAGGAAGGCAGCGCCAGCCGGGCTGTCTCCCCAGGGGCCCCGGGTCCGGCCCCAGAGGACACTGCACGAGCCTCTGGGTGTGGGGTGCCAGGCCCTCCCCGTCCCAGCGCGACGGTGCCCGCGGCGGCCACTAGAGGGCAGCAAGCGGCTGTCCCTCCCTGGCCCTACCAGAGCCTGCGGGGGTGGGCGGGGGGCGCGGCGCAGGCTAGGTCCCGCCCCTCTCGCTGCCGAGGGGTGTGGGTGGGCTCGGAGGGGGGACCCGCACTGGGTCAGGATGCGGTCTTTGGGAGTGGAGGTAGGGGTAAAGCCCAGGAGGGCCAGTGGACTGATGGGGGGAGGGGGCTGTCTGCCCTGCTTCTGAAACTCCTGGGAGGGGCCCCCTTCACCCCAAAGGCGGCGGAAACCTCCCAGCTGTGCGCAGCCGCGGGAGAGCCAGGGCCCCAGCCGCCGCAGCTGTCTGTTCTGCCCCACATCTTACAGGAGGAGCTGGGGCCAGTGAGAGGGTGTGGGGGAGCAGCCAGCAAGCTCTGCACCCCATAGCCTCACCCCTGAGTGAGGTGGCTGGCTCCTGTCATACCAGGCCTACAGTCGTGTTTCCAGGATCCATTTATTATTTTTTAATTTTTTTTAAGATCTTATTTATTTGACAGACAGCAAGAGAGGGAACAGAACCAGGGGGAGTGGGAGAGGGAGAAGCAGGCTTCCCGCTGAGCAGAGAGCCCAGTGCAGGGCTTGATCCCAGGATTCTGGGATCATGACCTGAGTGAAAGGCAGATGCTTAACTGACTGAGCCCCCACGCGGTCCTCCAGGATCCACTTTAAACAGGGAAAGTTGGTCCTCTTGGCAGTGAGTCCAGGGGCCCTGGACAGGCCTTTGCCCAGAGATGTTTGGGAAGGGAAGAGGGGGTGGGCTGGGAGCAAATGGGGGCTGTGGGAGGGGGACAGAAGGTAGCTGAGAGAAGGGGGTGTGGGAGAGGCAGCCTTTGTGGAGAGGAGAGGCTGGTACTTTGGGGTAAGATTCATTGTGTGGGGAAGGGGTGAGGCTCTGGGTTGCGTATGGGTGAGGGGGCTTCACAGAGCCCCTTGGAGGACCCCAGCAAGTATGGTTCACTCTCTTTTTTTTTTTTTTTACCTGGGCCTGAAGGCTCTCCCTCCTCAGCCCTGATGGGTATACCTCTTCCGGGTGTGCGGAGTGCCAGCATGAGACAGAGGCACCCCCTACACACACACCTACGTGGAGTGAGGTGGTCAGGGCCGTGTGGGAGGGTCCTCCCTGCACCGTGGCCTGTGAGACTCTGATTTGCATATGCCAGGGAGCAGGCCTCATCTTCCTGCTTCCTTCCTGCACACCCGCCCCCAGGGCCCCCAGCACGGGGCAGTCTGGTGGGGATGAGTGCCCGGGCCTAAACCAGGCATTTGGTAAACCATGATGCGGCCTGCGTGGAATGGTGCAAGGACAGGTGGGGATGAGGGCTGGGTGGAGGGGCGACGGGGCGGCTGGGCAGGCCCCTGACGCCCCGGCCTCCCTGTCGCAGGTACATCCCCTTCTTCCTCATCCTCTTCATGTACTTCAGTGGTTGTTTCACTCCCACCGAGAGTTCAATGCCAGGGGTGGCCCTGCTCCTGGTGGTGCCCAGTGGCCTGTACTATTGGTGAGTGGACCTTGGACCTAGTGGTGGGGGGGCACTCAGGGAGCCGGGTGGTGAAAAAGTCCTCTTGACCACAGTCCCGCTCTGGGCTCCTGCTTCCGCCTGGGTCTAGTGGGGATGGTGACAGTGCTTTGTGGTAGCTTCTCGGTCGCCAGGAAGCCAGGCCTGAGTGCTCCTCTCCATTCTCATGCTCCTCTGCCCTACCTCCCGGAACCCCAGTGCCACTGTGGAGTCCAGTAGAGCCCACCTGTAATATCGAGCCCATCGAGTCCTGTGGGCCTGTTTCCTCCTTTGTGACATTGGGACAGCCCCTGCTTGTCTCCCTCTCAGGAGATGGTGAGGATCTAGGAGGAGGAAAAGAGGCTTCATAAACTATAAAGTACTATGAGGGTGACAAGGACAGATAAGGGGGAAGTTTCTTGCCTAGTTTCTTTCTTTTTTTTTTTTTTTAAGATTTTATTTATTTATTTGACAGACAGAGATCACAAGTAGGCAGAGAGGCAGGCAGAGAGAGAGAGAGGAGGAAGCAGGCTCCCCACTGAGCAGAGAGCCCAATATGGGGCTCGATCCCAGGACCCTGAGATCATGACCCAAGCCTAAGGCAGAGGCTTAACCCACTGAGCCACCCAGGCGTCCCTGGTTTCTTTGTGCCTTTCAGAGCTCTTCTCCCATTTCAGAAGACGTAGCCTCAGCCAGGCCTTACGTCTGTCACTTCTGCCCTGGGGACAGGCTTTCCCTGAACATTGGGAAAGGACTGGACCCTTCTCTGATGGGAAGCTTGCCTTAGAATGAAAAGGGCCTTCTTTCCTAGGGCCAGTTTCCTAGATCGGCTCCTAGGTCTGTCCCCAGCTGGGTGGAGAGGGTCAACCAGGACCAATCTGTATGCCCCTGAGGACAGGATGAAAAAGAAGGAGTGGCAACCACAGCAAGAAGGAAAGTGGTTCCACACGCGCAGCATGTTAGTGCTGAGACAACCATAGTAGGAGCAGCAACCATTTGTTGAACAACGTGCTTTTCCAAGTGAGAGGCGTACACAGCTCTTATCAGTGTCTTATGTCTGGAGAGATAGGGCCATTTATCCCCCCTTTCTAAGTAAGAACGCAGAGGCTCCAGGATGTCATGCAAATTCCCCAAGGTCCCACAGCCACTGAGTTGCAGAGCTGTCATTCCTTGAACGGAATGTATCAGTGTCATGTTTCTCTCCAGAGGCAGGGGCATGGACCAAACAGCCTCTCAGAAGCCCTCCAACAGATGTGCTAGTCAGAGGCCAGCCCACTCCCCTGCCCTGGCCATGTGCTAGGTACTGCCTTAGGAGCTACAGAGAGCCCTGGGAGACCTGAGACGGTCCCAGCCGTCAAGGAGACAGTAATGACAGCCTCCGTGAATTGCAGCTGCATTCCCAATCTCAAATGCCTGTAGGAAATAAGCCAGTAACAGAAAGGCATCAAGCCGGCATCCAGTAAGGCAATAGGGAATGGTGGAGACTGTGGCAAAGAGAACCATTCTCTTTCTAGTGGGGACAGCTGCTTTCTCCTCTAATTAGTTGTTGTCGAGTGGGAACAGAGGCCTGATGTGACCAGAGAAACCAGAAATCCACATTTTCTGCTATTATGTACATGTTGGTAACAAACTCAACATTTTTGAAAATAGCCACTGTACAAGCCAAATCAGTATGGGCTGTGGCTCCAAGTAGTACGCTTCCCTCCACCTCGTCTGAGATGAGGGTACAGGGAGGGAGGCCGGGCAGAAAGAGCGCCGGCCTCACTGCCCTCACTGGCCTCTTCAGGTACCTGGTCACCGAGGGGCAGATCTTCATCCTCTTCATCTTCACCTTCTTCGCCATGCTGGCCCTCGTCCTGCACCAGAAGCGCAAGTGCCTCTTCCTGGACAGCAACGGCCTCTTCCTCTTCTATTCCTTCGCCCTCACCCTCCTGCTTGTGGCGCTGTGGGTCGCCTGGCTATGGAATGACCCTGTACTCAGGAAGAAGTACCCGGGTGTCATCTATGTCCCTGAGCCGTGGGCCTTCTACACCCTCCATGTCAGCAGCCGACATTGAGTCCCTGGCACCAGCCACTCACCAGTGCTCTGCCCGGTGGAAGATGGGCCAGAGAGTGTGTCTGAGCAGGGAGTGTGTGTGTGCGTGTGTGCGTGTGCACGTGTGCGTGTGGGTGTCTACGTGTGTATCCGCCCGTGTGTGTGCAGTTGTAACTGGATGGGATACGTGTTGTGCACATGGATGGGATGTGTGTGTGTGTATGTGTGTGTAACTGGTAACAGAGAACATTGGTAAGGATACACGTGCACAAGGACAGGTTTGTGTGTGTGTGTGTACGCACACATGCACACACATATGTACAGAGTGCCTCATTGTTTATATGCAATTATTTGGATCAGGTTTCTCTTTGGTTTGTATCTTTTCAGGCGGGGCTATATAGTTTGAAACCGTATGTCCAGGCCAAGGTCTGGGCCCTGCCTTCTCTGACCGGAGTGGTCACTCTCACTTACTGCTCAGGGCTGGTGTCTTCCTGGGGAGGCTTCTGGTAGCCATGCTGGGTAGGCCTGGTGGGCGGGGCAGCAACCATGAGGGGACTGGGCTGGTCTTCTGCCACCAGGCTCCCCCCTCAGACCTGCCCTGACCCTGGAGGCCAGATTACAAAGGTTAAGTTAACTTCCTGCATATTGTTGAGCAAAGCACATCCCTCCTCTGGGCCTCCTTTGCACTAGCTGGGACCTGGGCCCAAAATGTGTCTGTGGGCTGGTTGTTGGGGCAGCCTTGGGATGGACGGACCGTTCTCTCCTGTCACTGCCCTCTGCTACTCCGGGAAGGGTATGTGTGCCGCAGATCCTCACCCAAACTCACGTCCTGTGGAGTGCTGCACCGCCCCGACCCTGGAGAGCCAAAGGCCAGCCCACTCCCCTGACCGCCGTTTCCCTCTGCCAGAAGCTGTCTCCCTGCTCCCCACCAGAACTGAGGCACCCTTTCCTGGCACCCTGACCAGGAGGTCTGAGCTGCAGCTGAACGCTGCGTTCTCAAACACTTGCAGTGTGCCCTGAGCCCCATTATAGGGCCAGGGGGCCTTTGGAGGATGTTGGGAGGGTGATCTGGAGGCTCTCCCCCATAGACTTGTCTCAGCCTGAATCTCATGCCTTCTGCTCACAGCCCTGCTTCCAGAAAAAGGAAGCTTCATTCCCAGTAGGGAATGAAGGGCCCACCTTCCCCCAGGTCTTGGGGCCAGATCTGCCCACACAGCTGCCTGCACCAGTCTCATTTTCCAGCCAGCGCTGGCTCGGTGAGCTTGTGGATCTCAGGGGGCCTCCTGCCTTGCCTTCCCCAGGCCCTGCCTCCTCTCCTGTGTTCTCAGGGAGCCCCATGCCTCAGATGCTCCTTTCATGTTGGGGTCCCTTAGCAGCCCCCTTAGAGGTCCCCAGCCCCAGGTCCCACAGGCAAAGAGAGGTGCGAATAAAGACCAGTGCGGAGCCCAACCTGGCTGGTGGCTGCTGCTTGCTTTGCGTGTGAATTTGGGCAGCAGGAGGGAGCTCCCTGGGGCAGGGGAGAAAGTGGCTGGTGTGAGGCCTGTCAGTGGCTGAGCAGGCGCCACCACTGGCCATCCGTGCCACCCTGTGGGATGCTGGGGGTGGGGGACAAGAAGGGCTTCTCCCAATCAGTCCCAGCTCTCTTCAGAGAAGTCTGGGGCATATGGGGAGTGGGGAGCCAGGAGAGAGCTTCTCCAGGCCTGCCTCTCAGAGATGGCCCCTCAGGCCTCCCAGCTGCACTGTCAGCCATTCCAGAGGCTGAAACAGAAAGGTGCCCTTTGGGGGGAGGTGGGGAGTCAGGTTTGTTGGAGGTTGGCCCTGAGCCTTGGGCAAGTCGCTTACTCCCTCGACATCTCAGACTCACCACCCATCTCCTGGGACTTACCAGGGGCTCCTGTTAGCAGACAGCACAGGAAGGGCCATGCTGGACAGGAGACGTTCGATGGTCGCATCGTCGGAGGCTGTGCCCCTACTGGCCCAGCAATCTCGCCAGATCCCTTCCCTGCCTCGAGGACACTTCTCCTTCCACCCGCATCTGCCCGGTTCTCCACAGCAAGACTTGTTGGGTGTCTTATGAGCAGGCACAGGCCTGGTCACGTGGGGCCTGAAGCTCATACAACTTGTGGGGAGGGCAGTCCTTGATAAGAAAACAGAAAAAAAAGTGAATAAAAAATTAGGTATGAGGGGCACCTGGGGGGGGCTTAGTTAAGTGTCTAACTCTTGATTCTGGCTTAGGTCACGAGCTCAGGGTCATGAAGCAGAGCCCTGCATTGGGCTCTGTGCTTAGCTGAGAGTCTGCTTCAGGGTCTCCCTGCCCCCCCCCCCCCCCCCCGGGGCAGGCCCCCTCTTAGTCTCTCTGTCTCTGCCTCCCCATCTCTCTCTAAAATAAATAAACTGTAAAAAAAAAAAAAATAGGTATGAAAATGAATGTTTAGAATGATTTCGTGTCCCACTTGACTGCGATCTCTTTAGGCAGTTTGCCCAAAAGAGTTTGCTGGAAAATTTCCCTAGAAATACTTCTTAACTGCAACCTGGCTTCACTCCACCTCGCTGACTGGAGGCCGGTGGTTCTCAAAGTGTGGCCCTGACTGGCAGCATCAGGATGGCAGAAGAAAATACAAATTCTTGTCCCATTCTAATGGCTGCATCAGAAACTGGTGATGGGGGGCGCCTGGGTGGCTCAGTGGGTTAAAGCCTCTGCCTTCGGCTCAGGTCATGATCCCAGGGTCCTGGGATCGAGCCCCGCATCGGGCTCTCTGCTCAGCGGGGAGCCTGCTTCCTCCTCTCTCTCTGCCTGCCTCTCTGCCTACTTGTGATCTCTGTCAAATAAATAAAATCTTTAAAAAAAAAAAAAAGAAACTGGTGATGGGGCCCTTCAGGGGAACGAAGTCTCAGCCCCAGGCAGTATTGAAGGGGCTTCCTGTTTTTCACGTTGAGTTGAAGGAAGCCCTTCTTGTCCCCCACCCCCAGCATCCCACGGGGTGGCACGGATGGCCAGTTGGCAGTGGTGGCGCCTGCTCTCAGCCACTGACAGTTGAAGTGTAGCAGACACACGATGCAATGAAGTTCACAGCTCCATGGGTTTTTGTAGCGACCCCTCGTGGAGCCAACCCTCCCAAGCAGGTGTTTGGGATCACGCACTGACCTAGACTCAAGAAAATACCTTGTCTCCCCCATGAGCTCCATCCCAAACACAGGGTCATTCCGAGCGAGCACTCTGGCCTGGGCCCCCCTGGGGGCCTCCCCACAAGCCTCAGCTCTGCCCCCCTACCCGCCCCCCCCACCCCTGGCCTCCAAGGCCCCGCCTGACTTTGCTTCATTTCCCCCACAAGGCTGCCAGCAGAAACTCCCTCCTGTCCCGCCTCCTGTATCCCCCAACAGAGAGGAGTCAAATCCCCCAGCTGAAATTCTCTGGGTCTAGAAACAGATGTGAAGAGGTGACTCAGGAGACACCATTTTGGAGAATAGAAAATCTTCCATGCAGAGGCGGTCAGGAGAGGAGGGAGGGAGAAAAGACCAAGGGCAGGCCCGCCTGTCCACGTTGTACGCGTTAGCAAGAGGGCCCCTTCCAGCAGGCACGCGCAGCCACTCACCAGGTCCCAGGCGTCCCCTGGGCGGGGGGCCCTTGTGCAGAGCACAGCCTGTTCAGCCCTCCACGGCAATCCTGACAAGGCAGGGGGTACCCTGGAATTGGAGCCCCACAGACAGAGCCAGCAGCTGTGGAGGAGAGCCAGGGTGAGACCCAGCTGTGCCCAGTGCACAGCCCCAGGGAACCACCCCACTTCCGGGGCAAGGACATGGGGACAGTCAGCAGCTTCTAGGTGGGGGGGCGCCTGTGGGGAGCAGAAGAGGGAAATGAAGAAGAGCTCTTCTGGCTGGGGAAAGTCACCTAAGAGGCCTCCCTGTGAGCCTGCGGGGTAGCTCAACTGTGGGGCCTGGAACCCCAGTGCACGCACACACCCCACTGCTACCCTCAAGGTGTCTGGAAGGAAGGAAGGGGTGAACCGACTGTGTGCTGGCCCTTTGATTCTCTCAACATCCCTGTTATGAGGCCGGGTGCAGAAACTGAGGCACAGCGCAGTGAAATGATGCGCCAAGGTCACTCAGCAAATGGATCTGAGGGAAGGACTGGACTCCAGCCCAAGAGCACGGAGCCTGGGCCCCTTCTCCCAAGGGCATCCAAGGCCTTGGCAGTGGGGGCGTCCCCCATTGCTTGGCTGTGCCATCATGGGAGGGGTCCTCTCCGGCCCAGAGGGTGCTGTCCCATGGGTCTTCTGTAATCAGCCCCATCTTAGCCCCAGGGAAGAGACAGGAAAGACCCCCGAGGCACCCCCTTTCTGGGTATCACCAACCCCACCCCGTCCATGGAGGGCCCCCTAGGAAGGAACTGCGGCATGTGTCCATTTGCCAGAGAGCACCAGCTTCCCAAAGGAAGCAGGACAAGTTGGGGGGGGGGGGCCTTCTGCACCCCCACTGACTCACAGCGAAACCTGCGCCGCCAGCCGGGCATCCGAGGCGCAGGGGAAGCTGGAATCTGACCCGGGCGGGCGCCTGGCCTGGTCTCCATGGCAGCGGCGGATTTATTACGGAGCCTCCACCCAGCTTGGCGGACTTTCGACTTGAAGCTGGGAGGAAGGGGACGGAGCAGGCAGTTGTGGGAGCCTCAAGCCCGCAGGCTGTGACAGCCTGAGGCGCAGGATGGTGAGCGGGGGGGCCTGTGACATCGTGGAGCCTGGCTGCCCCGGGGCTGGGGGTACGGTGGGGGTGGGGGCCGCTTTCACGGGCTCCTCTCCCTGACTGTTTTCCTCTCTCTGCTACAGGCCAAGTTCCTTTCCCAGGACCAAATTAATGGTAGGTTGGCGTTGCTCTTTGATTAGCAACTCGCAGCAAAATGTGGGTCTCATTAGGCAATTTGCTCTGTTCGTTTTTTCTGTGGGTGGGAAGGAGGGCAGCTGGTGGGAGAGCCGGGCCCACCCACAGGCAGGGGGCCGCCTGCTGCAGGGGAGGGGGTAGGGCTCAGAGGTGAACTGTTGGTGTTACAGTTGTCAGTGGGACTCACCCGTGGGGGAGACAGGAGAGGACGCCCACTAGAGGCTTCTCCAGGACCAGATAGCTGGATTTGGGAGGAGGGATGGGAGATGGGGGTGCCCCCGTTAACTGGCTGTGGCTGAGAGCCCTGGTCTGCACTCTCAGGCAGCCACTTCTACTCTCTGGGTCTCAGTCTCCCCATCTGTGAAATGGGGGTGGGCTGAGGTGGCCTCTGCGGTCCCCTGTGCCCTGACATCAAGCAGCATTTGGAGCACTTACTACCCGAGCCCCCAGCCCACCTGCCGCCCAGCCGGCCTCAGTGTAGCACGGCATGGAGTTATGTTTCCAGAAGGCCAGGAGGGGAGAGTTGGGTTACACAGAACCCAGGGGCCTGCCAGAGCCCAGCAAGGGTCCCGCAGGTGCTGGAGGTATGCCTAGCACTTCTTGGGCAGGGATGCCAGAGTTCTGGGCCCCCAGAGCTTGGTCTAGAGTGGGTGGGGGGTAGGGGGTGCAGGGTCTGGGTGGGCACCTTGTCTTAGATGGCTCAACATCCTCCTCCCAAGAGAAGGCCAGAGCAGGGACTGTGAAAACATAAGGCCCAGGGCAAGGGCCTCTCTTGCCCAAGTCTAAGGGCAGACTGAGTGGTGACTCAAGGCTGGAGTCCGGCTGTCGGCCTCAGGAACCCCCCTCTACCAACCCACGCCTAGTTCTGAGGCTCACTGCCTTCCCTCCCAGGATTTGTGAAACTCCCAGAAGGCAAGAAGGGACGCTTCCCTTTGTATCCCTGTATCTGACAGTAAGAAAGCGGCCACTAATGTTTCACGAATGAGAGATTGCACAGAGGTAGCTCACCGGAGTGGTAAGGGTGGGAGTCTTGGAGGCAGCAGACTGGGGGTTCCATCATCTCTGAGCCTCAGTTTCTCCTCTGTGAAGTAGGGAGAATGACACTGTGAGCAAGGGGCAGAGAGGATGTCAGTCAGGCACATGGTGTCACCCAGACTCGCTCTAGCTAGCATGAGCTGAGTGGTATGAATATTTTGAGCTGCTTGTGAAAATCAGCCATTATTAGATAAAGTAGCATCAAACAGTGTTTCAATCCCTGCATCTATACAGTGAATGTTTTAAAATAACCCTATCATCAGTGCTGAAGATTTGAAAGAGGTTTCAGTTTAATGAATTTGTACAAGGGTGAGAAATAGTGTAATGGTAACTCACCAGATTTAATGACCATACCTTCACTGGGCAAAGAGTTGCATTCATTGGCATGCGGCCTCGCTCGGCGAACCACGGTTGAATGGAAGCTGTAGGCTGGCAAGGGACACGAGAGCTGGCAAAACTCACTTGTGACAATCAGCTGGCTGGTACGGAACTTATAAAGAACAGCGCACATTTTATCGTTACTTATAAGTAGCGTGCTACACGTCCTTAATGTCTGTAGACGTCATAATAAACTTGGTTACCTACGCCATCAGAGCTGGTTGTCACACCTGCGCTAGCACACAGCTGGTGTTAATCTAGGCCCCGGGGAGGCCCTCTCTTGCTCCTGGGCCTTTGCATTCCCAAAGGGAAGACCTGAGGGGGATTTTCAACCAATTTATTCTTTCCTTCACCAAATATGAGTCCTTTCTTTGTGCCAGCCCAGGTCTAGGCACTAAAATACGGCAGCAAACAGGACAGACAAAATCCATTCGCTCGCTCACACACAGGGAGGAGGGGGACAACAAAAGCAGTAGCATATATGGGAGGTTACAGGGCCTGCCCTTCAGAAGAAAAGGCCAGAAAGGGGGAGCAGGGAGGTGTGGGAGTCATGGGGGGTGGAAGGGGGCTGCAAGGAGAACGGCCTGCTGTCCTGCTCTAGCTCGGGAGTCCCCATTCAGCTGTGGCCTTCTGGGTCTTTCAATGGTATATTTGTCAATGTGGGAAGATAGAGCGTGTTTTATCTAACAGTTAGGAGATGGGACTCCATTTGCCCCTGGCCCCGCTGCTGTCAGGGGCCTGGTCCCAGTCACTCATCCATGCGGGAGAGGCAGTCTGCCTGTCTGTAAAGTCTGGCCAATTCTAGGTCCCAAGGGTATGACGGGCATTAGGCAGGGACAACAGCAGTCACAGGCTGAGGTCTCAGGGGGCACACTCAGAAGACAAGGTGGGTGATGGTCATGAGAGGTCCCCAGGAAGGGCGCTGGGGGAGTTTTAAGCCCTAGATGCAGGGTGGCTCCCTCAGGGTGCCCCCACATTAGTGGTGGCATCACCCCCACTGGCATGGGGCCCTCTTGGAGGAAATCGGGTTTTGCAGGAAACAAAGGTGGGATCTCAGGCCAGGCTCCGGTGCTGCTTCCTCTAGACCACTTCAGTTCCTGTCCCCTGCTCATGTGTTCTGGCCCTCTCCAAGCCCAGGCTCTGGAAAGTTCTGAAAGGGCTAGGCTTTCCCCTTCAGCCTTTCCACAGGCACAAAGTTGGCTAATTGTCCCTAAACCCCACCAGGGAAGCTGCCTTTTATTAGCAGCGCCCCTGAAATCCTCAAGGAGAGGCCTTAATTGGGGAACATGAAAGGGTCTTAGGGCAAAAGCTGGGGACCTTCCTTCAGCCTCCCCCTACTCCCGTCTACCCTCTGGTGGCCTCTGCCTGGGAACCCAGCATCCAGAGTGGCCTGGGTGGAGCTCTGCTTCAGGGGCCAGACTCCTCCCCCCACCAACCTCCCTCCTCAGGCCCTCAGCTGCCACAGCCTTCAGTGCCCCCCCCCCACCCCCGCACTACGGGAACAGTAGAGGCACTGCACTGGGCATCACAGGGGCATGGCAGGATGAAACAAGGGCCCAGGGGAAGTGCTCGGTAGAGTGAGCCTGCCATTGGTTTTATTATTATCAGCTGAGGAGCGGCTGGCCCGGGCCACAGAGGCACAGGGGAGCTGAATGCTGAGAGGCCTCCATGGGGCTCTGCTGTGGGGCTCAGGGATTAGAGTCACTGGGGAAGCTCTTGACCAGTTCTGCCCGCAGCCCCACCCCAGCCTGTCTGGGAATCTCGGAGGTGGGGCCCAGGCATCCTCCCCAGCTCCTTGCTGGCCTCACAGTTCCCTGAGGGCAGGGAGCTGGGCTTTGCTGTGTCTAGGGGAGCCTTAGCTCGGGCAGCCACTGCATCTCCTCCCCAGGAGGAGGGGTGGGGAAAGCAGCCAGCCAGATTTAGTCCCACGGAGTCTTTAAGAATAGGACCAGGGTGGGGCGCCTGGGTGGGTTAGTGGGTTGGGCCTCTGCCTTCGGCTCGGATCATGGTCTTGGGGTCCTGGAATTGAGCCCCGTGTCGGGCTCTCTGTTCGACGGGGAGCCTGCTTCCCCCCCTCTCTCTGCTGGCCTCTCTGCCTACTTGTGGTCTCTCAAATAAATAAAATAAAAGTCTTTAAAAAAAAAAGAATAGAACCAGGGCTATCTGTGTCAGAGGACTGCCTGAGGGTTTGGCAGCCTGGAGGTGGGAGGCTGGAGAGTGGACACAGCAGTGCTCACAGATGTGATAATAACTAACCAGATAGGACAGCCATTCTCCACCACGCCTTCCCAGAGGGGATTTCTACCAGCGGCATAATTTCCCTCATTTCCCATATACGTCTTTGCAAAGGTACTCTAGAGTCTGCAGGCCCTGCTGTAAACTCCTGGTCTCCATAGGCTGGCCTGGAGGGTAGGATTGCTTTCCTTTGGTTTTAGTCAGTTATGGAAGGGGAGAAAAGCGGAAAGAAAAAACAAAACAAAACAAAACAAAACAAAACAAAAAAAACAGAAGAAAGGGGGGAGGGAGAGGAAGGAAGGGCAAGAGACAGAGGAGGCAGAAGGGAAGTCAGGAGGGGGAGGGGATAGGATTGCCAGATAAAATATAGGCCACCCAGTTAAATTTGGATTTCAGATAAACAACAAAGCCTTTTTAGTATAAGTATATCCCATGCAAAACGTGGGGCATACTTATATTAAAAATGTATTCCTTATTTATCTGAAATTCAGTTTAACTTGGCAGCCCTGTATTTTTATTTGCTGTGTCTGGAAACTCAAGAGGAGAGTCAGCAAGGGGAAAGGAAAGGAAGGGAAAGGGAAGGGAAAGGAAGGGGAGGGGAGGGGAAGGGCAAGGCAAGGCATGGGTGTGGAGGGCAATTACATGCAGTTGACTCTTCCTTCTGGGTTGTCTGTGCACAGAGTACAAGGAATGCTTCTCCCTGTATGACAAGGAGCAGCGGGGGAAGATAAAAGCCACTGACCTCATGGTGGTGATGAGGTGCCTGGGGGCTAGCCCAACACCAGGGGAGGTGCAGCGGCACCTGCAGATCCACGGGATCGGTGAGTGGTTTGGGCCAGATGTGGCTGCTGGAGGGGCACACACCAGCTGGGCTGGGGGTGGGGGGCAAGTCCTGTAGCTGGCGTCTTGGGGCAGGGCCTAGCAGGTGGGTACAGATGGCGGGGGTATGAAGAGCTCAGACGTTTGAGGGGCGGGTGGGAGTCGGAGCTCACCAGCAGAAGCTATGGAGACATCTGGCCAGGTGAGCTGTGTATCACTCAGGCTTCCTAGAAGCCCCCCAGCAACCAGCAACATGCCCGTTTGTCACAGAGGACCACAGGGTCTAGGCATTCCATTATCACAAACCTGCAGTAAAGACTGTGTTAACAGTGATCCCACGTGTTGGGACAATTTCCCTTCACTGAGTATTTGTCCCCTGCTTAGCTCAAACAACTCTGTGAAGTACGCACCATCCTCCTGTTTTACAGGTAAGGACCAAGGTTCAGAGCCATTAGGTAATTTGCCCAAGTTCTTAACCCAGTGGTGGAATCAGGGTTGGGACCCGATTCTTCTTTCAAAGACCGACCTCCTAAACACTGTGCAACACTCTGAGAAAAAAAGGTAGAAGAAAACCTACCCAAGATGCTACCATAATTGTTCTGTGATGGGATTAGGGATGATTTTCATTCCCTTTATTGTTTCTTGCATGTTTGATGATGGGAACACCTAGGACTTTTATAACCAGAAACAAGTTTTATTTAAAAAAAAAAAAAAAAAATGAGGAAAAACCAGAGAGGTGTCAGAGGCCGGTTAGATGTTTGCCCTGGTAGTTGGACACACAGGAAGGAAAGCCTGGCCCAGGGGAAGGAGGTGGACTGGAAAGTGCACTTGACCTGGAGCCCAGAGGTGTCTTCTGGGTGCCTGGACCTCGTTTCCTCACCCATCGGCTAGGGTTACTCTGAGGTCCCATCAGAGTGTACCTGCTGCAGCACTGGGAGGCCATGGGGGGTGGGGGGGCTTCTGAAGATCTGGAGCCGGCTGATGGGGTGCTCAGGGACTGAGATCCCCATTTCCAGCTCTGAATGGGGTGGTGGTTTCCTTTGGCTTCTGTGTCCTCCAAACAGGAAATTGTGGTCAGGGGAAGTTCTGATTTCCTGCAGTTGTAGCTGGCCAGGGCCTGGGCTGAGGCCCACAGGCATGCTTGGAGGAGGGGCCTGGGCTGGGGAGACCAGGGCAGAGGCTGCGGTGAGGGAGAAGGCCGAATAGGGGGTGGGGCTGGGGCTTGAAGCTTCAGGTGGGGTCACCTGTCCGTCCTTGTGGGTGTGCTGCAGTGGCTGCCGAGGAAGGACGGATGCAGAGAGTACTTCCTTCCAGCTCAGGGCAGGAGGGGAGCCCCCGGATGGGAGCAGAGTAAGTGTGCCCCATCCTGGTCCTGCCACCACCCTGTGAGGTGACTCCATGCTGGGGCCTCTGTCACCTTAGTGGGCAAAATGGGGCAAGGGTCATCCCCGTCACTGAGGGCTCCTGAGAGGATTCACGAGGCAGATCCATGGTGGGGGGGGGTTGGGCTCCGTAGGAAGGGCTGCATCCTCCTCATGGTAACTGTCGCCAGCATGGCACTTCCTGAGTTGGGGACCCTTGAGCCGGCCATAGACTTGGGCAGGAGGCCATTTAGCTTCTCCAAGAAGAGCCGCTTCCTCCCTGCTCAGTCTGCTGTGTTGGGGGGTTTCCCAGACAGAGATGGAGAGCTGGATTTCTCAGCTTTCCTGACCATCATGCACTCGCAAATAAAACAAGAGGATCCAAAGAAAGAAATTCTTTTGGCCATGTTGATGACAGACAAGGAGAAGAAAGGCTACATCATGGCGACTGAGCTGCGGTCCAAACTCATGAACCTGGGGGAGAAGCTCACCCACAAGGAAGGTAAAGGCCTGAGTCCCTCTTTTGCAACAGTGAGGGAGGAGTGGGGGGTGGGGGGGGGGAGGACAGCAAAGCCCGATCGGCAGGACTGTGCAGACACCGCATGTGATCTTCGCCCAGACGGCTGTGACTCCGTGTCACGCTCAGTGAACTCGAGCCCAAGGGAAAAAGTAGGGGCCCGAGAGTGACGGGAGAAGTCTGCCAGGGTGAGGGAAGGCCTGGGGAGGGCATGCTAGGATCTACTTGGGCCTTCATTTAGTGCTCACAAGACCCCTGGCGGCACCAGTGCCCTTATACCAACAGGTGACAAACTGGGGCGTGAATGCAAGTCTGTTCGACACACACACGGCCCCTCAGACTCTTTCCCCTTGCCAAAGCTGTCTTCTGAAGTGGTTGCTGATGCCGAGGGTTTCCAAACTGAGATGCTACTTTGTCCCCCTCTCATGACTCAGCCGGTTTGAAGTGCTCTTCCAGAAGGAGCGTCTGTGGCTGCCTTTGCCTCGCATCTTCCCACAGGCCAGTGGGCCTTCCTGCCTTGGAGCAGAAGGAGGGGCTGCGGTCTTCTGGGCATGCCCTTTGGCCATTGTAGGAGGTGACCCCCATGCTGGGCCACCAGCCGGCATTCTTCCAGCCTTGCCCCTCCACCCTGTCACAGCAGCCCTCCGGGGGCTGCCACCAGAGGCTGGCATTTCCAGTTAGGCTGCTGGGCCTGCCGGTGGCAGGGACGTGAGTGCTGGGCTGGGACACAGGCAGGTGGAGGGAAAGGCTTTGGGAATGGTGGACCTTTAGCCTTTGGTTAAATCACAACAAACCGGTGGCTTGAATTCGATTTGCTGCCTGGCTCCCCCTCATTCTGGGGGCCCCTCAGAGGTGTTTCTTAACCTCTCTCAGCCTCCATGGTTTCCCGGTTGGGAAACGACAGTACAGCAGACAATCCCTCAGGTCCCTCCAGGAGCTAGCATTCTGTAAAGCAGTCTGCTTAGATTTTATCTGCAGTCACTAAGGCACAGCACAGAGCATTTAAAAATAGCGCTAGACGGCACACTGAGCTCTCCCTGCTTTTTCCGGCTGGCAGCGACCGTGAGCTCATCTTTCACTGTGGCTGCGTTCATGGGAACGTGGGACGCAAGGGCTCTCCTTCGCGCTCAGGCTCTTAGGACACTGCCCGGCCTCTTATGTTGCAGGTGGAGTGCTGGCGGGCGGGGGGGCGGAGGGGGCAGCAGAGGCCTTCATTCTCACGGTTAATGATCTCTGTCTGAAGCCGTGCCCTGGCCCCCCAGACTCACACCCATCTCTTGTTTGTTTAACCAGGGAAGAAACATTCCAAACAAACTGGTAATGTGTTCCAGACAAGCAGGAAGACCCACTTCCCTTCCTCTTGCTATGGGAGGGAGGAAAGATGATATGAGAAGTAGGAATCCTTTACCCTGGGTGACTAAAAGAACATCTTCAATTTTATTAAGCATCTTCCGAAGGCTGGAGGAGGCTGCAGGGAGGCCTCCATTCTGAGGCCTGGAACAGGCTGATTTCAGCCCCCTGGGCCTTTGTGGGATCTGAGTGAACCCAGAAGGCGTGGTCAGCGCTCAGCCGAGGAGTACAGCCCCTCTTGGGGACAGGAGGGGCCTGTATGCTTGAGCTGCAGCTGCCACTGGGCCTGTCCACTGGAAAGGGTTGACCCCAGTGGCTGATGGGTAGAAGCTTCTCCATGAAATAGGATAAATTACAGTCTCCTCAACATTCTAAAAATACTGAGAACCACCATCAGCTTAGGCACTGAGCATAGTAATTACATTTTAGAGGAGGATGGATAGTTAAGCAGAGAATCACAGGAGATTTTCCAACTGCCCAGAATTATGTGTCAGGGACGTCTAGCGCCAGGGAAGCTGACACAGGGCAGTGAAACAGTTTCTGCAAGGGGATGAGGATGGGCCCAAAGAGCCCAAGGTAGGTTGGCACCAAGAGGCCACTGTGGAGAAATGGAGGTTGAAATGGCCTTTCTTGCCAATATCTGGGACAAGCTAGTATTTTGTCCCAAGAATCCAGAACCAGAAGAAACAAGTAAATGAAATGATTTTTTTTTTGAGCAATGTCCAAGAACAATGACCCTTTTGTACACTTTGAGCTTTAGACACAGTTGAATTTATCTTCTCTCCTACTACCCCTGCCCCCTAAACACACACGGTTTTAAAAAAGAGGTGATGGTGGCAGACACCACTTGTCACCAAGTCCCCGCTTGGGGTGGGGCAGGAAGGGAAGGCAGGCAGGCTGGGGGCAGGCCAAAGCTACGGGCAGGGTGGCCCAGGATGGGGCTGTTCTGCCGGGAGACTGAGGGAGTGGGTTATAGAAGGTAACATCCATACCAAATGTTTCTGGAAATACAGGCGCAGGGGTCAGGTCTTTTTGCTAAAAAAGAAAAAAAAAAAAAAAAGACAAAGAAGCAAGCAAGCACCAGGTGGCTTCAGTGACGGACTCACCACTAGCACATCCCCACACTCTACCTGGGCCCCTGCAGAAAGCCTGATTCACTCAAAACTGAATCCATGTCTTCAGGGATAGGGGGGAGTCGTCCTGTTCTGTTCACTGGTTAATTTCCTGGTCTTCAGGAACAGTCCATTGGACACCAGGGAAGACCTTTGGGGAGCTTCAACCCCCAATAACTAATTCGATGTCCTATAATGTAACACTATAGCCAAACTGAAAAATTAATGTGATTTATTGCAGTGGATGATCTTTTCAAGGAAGCAAATATCGAACCAAATGGCAAAGTAAAGTACGATGAATTTATCCACAAGATCACCATTCCTGTGTGGGACTATTGAACGAAGAGAATTTCAAGAGAGCCTCCCCCAGGCCTGAAAACTCAGACTGTGATGTTTTTAAAAAGCAAAGGCTCTTTTACCCTGAGGGGGGCTGGTAAATGCTGCAGCAAGACGAGATGAGCTGACTGTAGCTGGTGGTGGGGCGGAAACTCAGCAATGATACGAAATGGCTTCAGCCTGGCATTAGCAGTTTTAATAAAAGATTTGTATTGATTTTTAACAAGTGCCATTAGTCCAGCATTTTACGGCATCGAGAGAGCCTTTGGTTTACAGTTGGGCCTGGGTTCCAGTTCTGACTCTGCCATGTCCCAGCTGTGTGACTCTGGGTAAGTCATTTCACCCCTTAAAGCCTCAGTCGGATCCCTAAACTCAAGGTGGACTCCGACTTCTTACCTCATGGAGCCTACTGAGGGTGTCTGTTTTTGGTGCTGGAACCATCTTCCACATTTCCAAAGTAAAGCCAGTGCTGAGCAGAAAACTACCATCAAGCAAAGAGCTAAAACAAATGAACGAACAAGTATGGTTAACATTTCTGGCAACACCATGGGGCCACTTTACACGTTCTTATTCCCCGCGTGACACACAGTGACATGGTTCAGGATATTCATTCATAGACACAGAGTACGGAGTGAACACGGTCACGTTCAAGAGGCATCAGCTAGACGGCAGGGAGGGCGATGGGACTTTGCAACCTACACCACAGGCCACCAGATGTGACCTGCTGCCATCGTCAGAGCCTTGTGGAGCTGGAGGAGCTCCCGTCCGTTTTGAGCTCTCCTGTTATCAGAGAGGGTCACGACACTAGGACGGTGGGCCAAATTGATCAGAGATGAAAAGCAATAAAGGGATGGAACAGGCCATGGCCAGCATACAGCAAGAGCCCCACTGGGACCTGTTCCAGCCCGAGCAGGGTTTTCAGTGCGGTTTGTAACCAGGAGGGGCCAGGCTGGCACTGCTTGTGCGCTCATACATTTGTGGATCCTGCTGGTACTGTCAGCACAGCCCTAAAAAGGGCTGGAGTCCCACACCAGCACGTTGAGCAGGCAGAGGCCCTAGCTCTAAGTACAGAGATCTTCATCCTTATATGTCTCAAAATTGGGCTCTCTAGGCTGTGGCTTTGTTTACTGTGCCTTAGTGGCTCAAGAAAAAGAAAACGAAATGAAGAGGGAGGAGTGTCTTTTGGGAGGTTACACAAAACACAAATCTAAGGGCTAAGCACCAGCGAAACTGCAGGGGACAGACCGGCGCAGATCAGATAATCGGCCAATTATCTCACGATGCTGTAGCTTTCAGACCTAACCAGGGTCCTCAGAAAGGAGAGACTTTCATTTTCCCAGCAGTGTAACTGCCAGTGGGGGCGAGCAGAAATTCCTAGGAGCTGTAGAAAGGTCCTGTAGGAGGCAGGCAGCAAGTGGCTCAGACACTAAGCAGGTGAGGTCATGACCGTCTGGGCTGGGGGAGCCCAGGCTCACACGGTATAAGCGCACATCCAGGTTTTGTGCGGTCTGAGGCTTATACTCTTGGAAGGCCTTCTTTCAAGAACACATGAATAGAAGTACATAATCGTTAGGGCTACCTACTCCCAGGCCTCTTCTAGAGGCCGAAGTGGGGGCAGGGCACACACTGGTTCTTAAACTTACATTAAGTCGAAGGCTCCTCGGGCACCTCATCGAGAAACGCTGCATTTCACTTTCAGGGAAGGCTTAAGGGGCCTGCCCCCACATCTCTTTCTGACTCATCATGGACGTTAGGAAGCAAGTCCTGCACAGCTGAGCTGAACACCACGGACGAGACAGGGTATATACCCAGGAGTTGGGAGGGACAGGAAAAGGAAGTTCTGGGCCAGAATAAACAAGGGTACTTACCCTTAAGGCTTTTTAAAAATGTCTGTCACTGAATAGTCCCAGGATGGTTTTAAAGCAAGTTTTATTAATCATCTGAGTTGCCAATAGGAATCCGAAGCACAGCTTGCCCAAAGCACCTGAGTGGTGTGCAGCGGCCATCAGCACCTACAGCTATCTCCCCCGACTCAGTGCTCCCAATTTAGGGTACGTGGTAGCTAGGATTCTAAGATCCTGCGACACGTCCTGATGTAAACCTCTACCCTAGGAAAGGACAGTAAGCCCAGGTTTCTTGTTCATTCCTGAAATTCCAGTTGGTTTACTTAGCACCTAGAGTTGTTTACAAAAAAGGCCACACTGCTCTTAGCACTCACACTGCAGATTACCAAACAGATTTAAAACTAAACAGATGCTATGGTTCAGTACAAAGCTTGTCATATTTCAGTAAGAACGGGGAACGGTGGCTGTATATGCATTACTTACCTCAAAGCATGTTGCGAGAGAATTAGTTAATTGCCATGCTTTGAAATCTCTGGATGAAAGGTGCTTTGGAAGCACAAAGCGTTATCATTTTTCTCATAGGGATTGTCCCTTGAATACCCACAGTATATTTTACAGAAGACAAATTAACTGAAGGCTTTTCTTTTATTACATCTAAAGAGCTCTACATAAACAGGTAACATTCAATAGGTAAACAATTTTTTTTCCAATGCATGTAATAAATATTTTCACTTGGTACTTTTATACAAACTGACATTGGTCTACTATACATTTTTAAAAGCCATTTTACTGGTTTGGCATGCGGTATGGAAATTTCTAAGAGAGAAAGTTTTAAGGCAATGAATCACAGATTTAAGTTCATGGAATTTATGGTAACTTTTATATCTGTTTATATACATTTCCCCTTTGTTAATTAAACAATTAACAGCAGCACACTCTGGGACCACCAGCTATTCTCCCTCCCTCTTTCTGAAATCTAAGCTTTGTGTTTTTTGTTTTTTTTTAAATTAAAAAACAATTCAACATGTATTGATAAAACAAAATCCTTACTAAAATAATTTTAAATGTGCTTTAAAGTCCTGAAGATCTTGAAGCGTCTTATGTATTTAAACTTGGAATTGTTTAAAAATGTTCTTTCCACAATTAGCGCATTTAAAATTAGGATATATTTTCATTCAGTTTCAGACATTTGTCTCTAGGGAAAATCTGCCAGGAAATCACATTTATCAGAAGATTAAGTGCAATCTTTCTTAAGTCAGTAATGATACAGAAATGTGGTAACATCTCAATTAACAGAAGAAAAATTTTAATGCTCAAAATAAATTAGTCAACCAAGTGTGGTATGGTTAAGGTTCAGATTGTTTTAAAAAGATGTGTCCAATAATGCCCACAAAATAATTAAAAGCCACTTCAACCCTGCTAAGTCAAACAGCTATTTTATCAAAGATGTGTGCATGTATACACACACACACACACACCCACACACAGAGAGTACTGTACAGAAACACAATCGTATGCACACCTATTATGAATGACCAAGGCAAGGGGATGGTGGCAACTTGCCAAAAGACTCTAAGAGTCGCTATTTGTCCGCAGACAGCATGTCAGTGTTGGTGTGGGTAGGGGAGTGAGGGCAGGCTAAGGAAAAAACAGATGAAATGACCATGCACTTCTTTTAACTTAGAACAGTGCAGTGCCTGACTCTACCAGTAACTAGTACAGATCATGACAGTCTGATTGACCAGTATCGACCACGAGACCAACAGAGTGATAGCTACCACTCATGCAACGCTTGGGAAAGTCAACAACTTTCCAAAGAAACAAACTCCTTAGAGTGGAATGAACTAACATCAAAAGACAAACAGTTCGTTTCTCTTGTGGAGACATGACCAAAGCCACTAGAGAGACACTTCTTTCTCCCTATTACCTGTTCTTCCCTTAGGTCGGTATAATGCAGGGCACTGAGGGAAACTCACCATCCCCAAAACTGGGCTGAAGAAAGGAGAGGGATGGGTTTTCAACTGGATCATTCAGAGTTTGGATTTTAGCATCATACACAAAGTTATTGATCAGAATTTTGAGACCACTAACAACGACAGAAAAACAAACAAAAAAAGAGAATACAAAAAACTATTCATTTTAGGTAGCTGAATTAACAGAAATGTTTCCTATTACAGTGTGAAATAAGAAGCAACACCCCACAACTTGAGTGATTTCTAACCCAATCTGAATTTAGACACAAATTATGGTACCATTAAGTATTGCCTAAGTTAATATAGTGATGCGAGTTCTTAAAGAGTTTACTCACCATAATAGCATATTCATTAAAAAACTTAACTAATTCCTGTTTTCACTGACAATGAATCTTTTGTTTTTTATTGCAGATTGTTTAGTGACTATAACTCAGCCATGTATGTGTGGAATACACATGCGTAGGGGAAGACTATATAACTCACATGTCACTCACACTTGTCTATAAATACATATATACACACACACATATACATATCAACACCAACTTGTTTTTCAAAATTCAAGTCAACAATTTAGTGGCAGAGAGATGCTGTAAAAACAGGTATTATTTTTAGATGCCACACAGTCATGTGAACCGTTAATTTTATCATACAACTGAAGATACAGCCATCTTGAATTCTACCTGGAAAAAGTAGGTCACTTTGTTACCACTGCAAGGTTGAAACACTTTTATACACAAAGGTGGTCCTTCGTCAACTCTGAGAACCTGAACAGCTGTGATAGAAAGATCCAGCCTGGGAAAATGGTAATTGTTATGCCCCTTCCTTCTTTCTATCTTTTCTGTTAAACCAGCTAAACCTCTCCATCAGCTAGAAGATACTTTCCACACCCTCAGGTGCTCCCTGAAGAACATCACACCTTCTCTAATGAGGATTTTGGGACACAGGTAGAACCACCTTCCTTCCCTCCAACCCACACTCATCTCCTGAAAAACAGTTCTCACTATATTTACATGTTCCATTATTAATAAATAGATCAGATTGATCCATGAATTCTAAAGAAAGGAAGTAAGTAACAAAGAAAGAAAGAATTGACTTCCTATGTCATGCTTTTCTTTAAAAGGTGAAGAAAAAATAAAACAAACAAGATAGCTAGGCTAAGAAAAGAAGTACACTCAGATCCAGAGAGTAAAAGTGACCAAGGATCAAGCCTATTTTGCATTTCAACTGTTTATCAGATAGTGGATTTCTAGACTGACATGTGTGGTGCACTGTATTTTCCAAAGAGAATTTACTTTTAGGATAACTGACTTTCTTTTTCGAGGTGATGTAACCTTACCTCTGTCAGCTGCACAAGACACCCAACACGACTTTCTAAGCTATTTTTACTTCCTACTTTGGCATGAAGATCTTACATGAAAACTTGTTACCCTGTGGCCAAAAGGCAGGTGTTCACAGACTTGGTTTAAATACATAATACTGGCAATCCAAATTTAGAAGAAAGAACTAGACTAAAGTGTATTATTCACAGGTCTGCCAAGCCTACTCCTTATCCAGACAGCTTTACTCCAAATCTCTAAAACATATTCTCAGGGGGTATCTAGCAAATAAGAGAGAATATGTGATGGAGAACATGCACTTGGGATATCAATAAAGATGCTCATATGTGAGTTCAAGACCTTCAAAGCACTTTGAAAGAAGCAGGCAACTGATTTATCAACTGAATGCAAACTTGGGAGGAGAAGGAACAGTAACAACAGAAAAATATACACAGACACACACACTGAACACACACCCCCACGAGCTAGGTCCTGAAAATACACAGGGAATGCAGTGGGACAGATGAGATTTATAACTTAAGGCTGGATAAAATATGCACACACACAAACAGAATCCAAGTCTGTCCTTTTTAGAAAATGGAAATGAAAACTATCCCCCCAGCTCCCTCCCCACAACGAAGAAAAGCCCACAATTTAAAACTTCATACATGCAATTCCTTTTCTGTTATTGCAAATAAAATAATGCCATTGAAGTAAAATAAAACCAAAACCATAGGACAAATGATGGAAAAAAATCTTCAGAATCCAGGAAAAAAATGAACTGAAGGTGGTTTGTGGGTACTGTTTTTTTTTCTTTTTTTTCTTTTCTTTCCTTTTTTTTTTGGTTTTTTTGGTTTTTTTTTTTTTGTTTTTTACAAGTGTTTTATCAGACAGGCAGTCTTAGATTTATATACAAAAGTAAAACTGAAAATATAGTTTTGTTCTCTGTACATTTCTTTTAATTTTTTCCCTAAAAAAAGGAAAAAAACACGCTTGTGTACTTTTCTAAACAGAATAAGGTAAAACATAGCACAAAGTTCTCTTCTTTCTGCCAAGTTCATTTAATCTGGGGTGGGGGCAGGAGCAGCAGGGGCAAGGGAATCAGTCCAATGAAATAATGTCTGGTATGATGCCGAAGATGGATGCTGTGTCCGTGCTGCTCCTGTTTGCAACGGTGTGGCTATGGCTCTCCCGCAGGCTGTTGGAGGACACGAGGCTGCTGTTACTGCCACTACTGCTTCCATTGGTGGTTGGCAGAGAAGTACTGCCTCCTGCACTTAACTGATCGAGAAACATCTGCGAGGAGGTATACGGGAAAAACCGAGACGAGTGTAAGAGGTCTTGATCATCTGACACTGCTGCGGCGGCGGCAGCCAGGAGGGACGTGTTATAATGCTGGGGGGCGGGGAACAGAAGACACAAAACCCATCAGTTCTAATTCATAAACCTTCTTCTTGGCAGAACAGAGTCCTAAATTTAAAAAGATTTAAAAAAAAATTTATTTGACAGAGAGTGAGAGTACAAACAGGTGGAGTGGCAGGCAGAGGGAGAGGGAGAAGCAGGCTCCCCACGTGGGTTCGATCCCAGGACCCTGAGATCATGACCTGAGCTGAAGACAGACGCTTAACCAACTGAGTCACCCATGCATCCCCAGAGTCCTAAATTTAATATATACTGCATATCTGCTATGTCTGAAATACCTAATAAAACATTTCACAGAATCAGATGTTCTTATATAATAATCACATCCTTGAACTTGAGAGATATTTCTATATTTTAAACTGGGGCGGGGGGAATACCAAAATAAAACTGCTAGTTTGTTTTGTTTTGTTTTGTTTTAATTTGTAATACAAACAATTCTCGAAATTCTATTTCCAAAGAGGCATATGCTCAGAAGCAGCAGGAAAGAAGACAGTTGACCCTCTTTCTCTTATGGAGATATTTGGCCAAGAATTTACCAGTTGATTTACTGCCCTGTTTCTTTATTAAACAATTACTGGGGAACCAACAAATAGATACTGTTCCTACTATATACTCAGACACAGTAGAAACAAGGGTATTTTATTTAAATTCATAAAACCTTAACAATAATAAGTAGGACTACTCTGAACTTCCCAAGAAATTTATCTTCTCTCTCAGCTACATATTATACTTATAAATATTCCAATGTGCAATGAAAACAACATTTTTTTCACATAACATACCTGATTGTCTCCTGATAAGAAAGGAAAGAAATCTAATCCTGTGAGAAAAAAAATTATTTTAGTTTTGGAAAACAAAAGAAAAAACCCTCCCTAATGCCCCTAATACTCCAGAAATAAACAAAAATCTTAAAATGCTAATTCTGAAGTCATTTAGAAGTTAAACAAGAAGAGTGGAGCTGAATGTTGTACATCTCTCTCATCTCTAGATTACCGAGGCTGAAGTCCAAGCTCTAGTCATGACATGCCCTCCTTGTAACTCCATTTGTGCGATCTGGGCCACAGCTGCCCTGCTGGATCCAACACTGATCCCTTACACTGATGGAGCACTTTTCACCAAACGTTCTCATTGACTCCTCCTAAGTAACATTTCAAACTACTCGAATTTACTCCTCGCAAGCACCGCACCTACCAGGTAGGTCATTATTTCTGGCTTTATTTTGTGGGTGAGACAAGTTTTACATAGAAAAATTTCAGCAACCTGGAACACAGATTTTCTTTTTCTTTCTCAAATTTGCCCACTCACCACTATCTTACCAGATTCTAACTCAGAGACCCTCCGGCGGCAGAAGGGAGGAAAACAGATTTGCGGGGGGTGGGGGGGGTTGCCTCACTGCTGGAGGGGTGCATCACAGAAGGGCCAGCTCTGATTCCTGGCTGCCCCTTCTTTAACTCCCACTCTTGTCCATATCACTCAATGCAAAATGTAATGAAGAACAAGAAAACCCATGTGAATAAAATGCTTTATTATGAGATCTCAACTTGGGGGAAAGGACAACAAGCAGATGTAGTGAAAAACATGACAACAACACAAATACTTTGGGGATCCATCCACTATCTACACTGGAACAGATAACATGAGGACCTGCAAAACGGATAGCACTGTGGTTCCTGACAGTGAGATCTGGCAGTAACCTAAGTACAGGGCTGCCCTTAGCCACATGATGTCTACATTTATTAAGATGAAATAAAATGAAAAACTCAGTTCTTCAATCACACTAGCCTATGTTTCAAATGCCCAATAACCATATGGGGCTAATGGTCACTATCAATTATAACATCTCCCTCCCCGAGGAAAGTGCTATTGGACAGAGCTCAAACAGGGTACTCCTAACAAGCACTAAGAACCTACTCAACTAACTCAGCTTCTGGGAATCTTTGCACCGGATTCTTCTGTAGGGGGAGGGGTGGAGGACAACTCCCAGTTTACATTTTTTGTATTAAATTTTCTACAATGGGCACATACAGCCTTTTGAAATAAAAATCTTCCTAGATATACAAATTATTAAATTACAAAGATATAAGAGAACTAATAATTTTGTGATAATGTAAATGATTATTATCAACTCAAAATACATTGTGCAATGGGTGCACTGACATTTCAAACTACCTTTAAAAGGAAGAATCAGGTTCACTGGAACAAAAGTTAAAACTGTCAATGTCTCAAATCAGCACTATTTTAAAGATAATACAACAGGGTTACCCACATGCCTGTTGCATTATAACTGGATCCAGGGAGGGAACAATGAATAATTTTCATAAACATCAAAATTCAAAGCAATATACAGAAAGTCACCCCAGAACAACTTGGAGACTATTCTGAGGCTCACAAAACCTAAAGATCATCACACAATTTTCACTACTGACAGTAAAGCACTAGCTACTGATAAAGGTACAAACAAGAAACTAGACCTCTATTCATTTAAGATCACAGTATGCATTTCCCCCAGTTCCCTAAGCCCAAGCCCGTTTTATCAATCTTTCCATCCTTCTTTAGACTCACCCAGAGGAAGACTATGGAGATGAAAGGTATTCATAATGCTATGTGACAACAGAGAAGAACTGGTGACTCACCTTGTAGGTCATAAGGCATGGGTGTCATGTGGAAAGGATGCCTGTAGTCTTGGATGAGGGATGTATTAATGTAGCTTGTGTCTACAGCAGGGAGGCTTGGGGTGCGGGACACTGGAGACGCTTGATGTGGAAGACTTAATATGCTAGAAGGAGGAAAGGTTTGCATAATTTTCACGAGTTAGTTGAACTTTTAGGTTTAACAAAGGGACTGCATCTCACAAAATGAATCATACCTTTTGTGCTGGAAATAAAAAGACAACCAAAGCAATATAGAATTTAGACTATCATAATGACTAGGAAGTAATCTGCATATACAGTAGCCGTTTGCAGGAGCTACGGGGGAAATGGATGGGTGCAACGGTATGTCCGACATTCATAATCACATGCTGCTTCATCTACACTTTCAGAATGCACGGCTGAGCCCCTCCAGTGAGAGATTAGCAGAAGATATCTATGGCAGCTGAGATTCTGAAACCTTTTATTTATTTATTCTTTTAAGTTTTTTTTTTTTTTTAATTTATTTGACAGGGAGAGAGACATAAGCAGGGGGAGTTGGAGAGGGAGAAGCAGGCTTCCCGCTGAGCAGAAAGCCCTACGCCGGGCTTGATCCCAGGACCCTGGGATCATGACCTGAGCTGAAGGCAGAGGCTTAACGACTGCGCCACGCAGGTGCTCTGATTCTGAAACGTTTTAAAAATAAGCACTGAGTGCTGTCTGGTAAAAAGTATAGGTATATCCTCCCAAAGAAAACACGTATAGACAAGCCTGGGGGACGGTAGCAATCTGAGCAGTGGATTTAACAGCTGGCCCCCAGACGTATAAGCTTTATGGAACAGAGACAAGGAACTGTTTATCCTGGTATACCTAATGCCCCGCACACTCATCAGCACACTGTTTGCATACAAGGCCGGCTGAATGAACGAAGGCAGCAGACAAGAAGAGATACTCCAAAATGAACAGGTGGTGGAGAGATTTTAAAGGGAGAACAGAACTGTGTGTGTAGGGGATGGGGAATGACAAAAAAAAAAAGGGGGATTCTGGAAGAACAGCATGAAATGTTTCAGTAGCTGAGAAGTTAAATTCTTTTTTTTTTTTTTTAAAGATTTATTATTTATTCCAGAGAGAAAGAGTGTGTGTGAGCGAGTGAGCATGGGGGAAGGGCACAGGGCGAGAGAATCCCAAGCAGATTCCACGCTGAGTGTGGAGCCAGACAGATGCCTGATCTCATGATCAGAACATCATGACCTGCGTCAAAACCAAGAGTCAGATGCTTAACAGACTGAGCTACCCAGGTGTCCCTGAATCTTTTTTTTTTACAAAAAAATTAAGTAAAAAGAGAGAAAGAAATGAAAAAGAAAAGGAAGACTTGAAATGATTTTGTAAAGAAAAAGAATTCTAACAGCCCTGAGTGTGAACGTAAGGTTTATGTCTTATCCCAACCACAGAAGAGGCTAACAGGCATGTATGTTTTGGAAAATAAAGAGAAAAGAAAGGCTGTTTTGCTTGCAAAAACTTCATAAAAAGTACTTGGGTGTGTGACGTAATTTCAGTGGTGCAGTGCAAGATCAGAATATTTCAAAAGAGGCCAAGGCTGGATGTCTAGGAACAGAGTTCTAATTATGACCATCTACCATATTTTCATGAATGGAATATGAAGCATAAAATAGACTCTCATCTACCTCATAAAAATGTTTTGTCTAATGGAAACTTAATTAAACCTCTTACATCTATAAAAAGTACCACTTTCCATTAGCCGTCTCCTCTGACAATGCCTAAGGGATTACAGGAGAGAAGAAAGCAGATGAAACGCCGGCCTTTGAAAACATCTTGGTACACCAAACAGCAAAAAAAAACCCACTTCTGGATGAATACTAAACACTTGGCGGCTAAAGACAACAAAATGTTTTACATTTACTAATGTTTGCCTCCAATTCCTGGTTGGCAACTTTCTTTTCAATTTTGTGATAATATTCTGAAAAAGCATTTCCACCTTTACACTGCACAATAACAAATACAATATTCTCAGGGTTTAGGTTTGTTTTTATCAGCTAGTCATTACTGTAAAATGGCCACTAGTGTTGAATATGGCTGTATCCTTCTAAAAATGCCATAAACTTTCAGGCTCTGCGTTTGTGTGTGTGTGTGTTTAAGATTTTATTTATTTATCTGACAGAGAGAGACACAGTGAGAGGGAATATAAGCCGGGGGAGTGGGAAAGGGACAAGCCGTCTGCCCGAGGAGCAGAGAGCCCGATGTAGGGCTCGATCCCAGGAACCTGGGATCATGACCTGAGCCAGAGTCAGAGGCTTAACGACCTAGCCACCCAGGCGCCCCAAGGCTGCTTGTTTTTATCTGAGAACAGAGAAAGGTCTGACATTTGTAAATATTGTATCTGGGTTTACTTGTTCACTGGGAAGCTCAGGAAGTAGTTAATGCATCTAATATAATTTTCTAAACATAATAAACAAAACTATTTTTGGAAAAACAGCAAAGCAAATACCTGAAGAACTGAAACATTAGATCTCTAAACACTCAAAAAAGTTTCTCTTAAGGAAAAATGTATAGTCAAGAGAGTAAAACTACCACACAGGTCACATATATGCATGACTACTAAAATACTCTAAGGAGTAGAACTAACTTACACACAATGGCGCATTTAATCTACAAGGTATTTATACACCTAGATTTATGAAATATCTTTTCATGTCGCCAAATTATGATATTTAAAGAAATAATATAATATGTATTTGGTCACAGTATGCTTTGATATATAAAATATCTTGGAATCAAGAGTCTATTGATATCTGTTCTAACTATACCAGCTTCTGGCCATTTGACTTTTCTTTTTTTCTCAATCAGATTTATAAAATAAGTCAGGGCAGTAACAAGGTCAGGCTTGTTGGGTAGCAGCCATCAGGGTACGCTTTCATCAGAGGTAATGCTTCATGAAGTAAGACTTAAAGCAGAATTAGTGAATTCGTTTTTTTTTTTCCCTTTAGAATAATGATACTGCTATTAATGTCTTTATTGCTCTCTGATGTGTGTGAAGCTCCTCTAGAGTGAAAATACCAACCTGTGTAACAGGTTTGATCGTATTATGAAGACTCCTGAAACAAAGTTTTTAATGAGTGAGATACATTTATCACTATTATGTTCTTGCTGTTTCAACTTTACCTTTCAAGTAATTACAAATATTCTCATATAGAAGATCTTTTTTCATATCATATAGAAGATCTTTCATCAGTCTCCAACCTGAAAATTATTTCACTCCAAACATGGAAATGCCTGCTCTTGGTCTGGTGTTAACTTTCCCTCTTGAACCTTGCAACCTTACATCAGGCCTTCTCCCACTTAACATTCCTTCTTCAGGCATACTGTTTGTTGGAAGGAGATTTTTTGAATAGCTCCTTTTCAGGTCCAACAGGCTACATCATTCTCCTGACACATAACTAAAAAAGGGCACACCTCTTTCTAGATTCACCTTTAGTGTGCCACAACTGTGCCTCAGCAAAACATGAAGACTTTTTGTTGAGAATCCCTAATGTGTCTCATGCGGCTGAGTCTATTTAAGAGTACAGCTAGAGCTAGCTATGTGTTTTACTATCCTCCACAAGATGTTAAACCTTTAAGGTTAGGACTGTGCTTATTATTATTATTATTATTATTATTATCACCCATGTTAAGCACAGGGTGTTTTACCTAAAGTAGATAACAGTGTTTGCTAAACTGAACTGAAGCATAACCAAGGTACACGATTACTGATATGAGACTAATGGCAAATATGGGACATGAGTTTGCAAAACAGAAGGCATTGTGCCCTGCAACTTCAGGCTCTGACTTCTTTCACTGCAAACCTCACATACTCTGAGGCCGGCTTAAAGCATTCCTCTGGTCTTCCTCAGTTTTCTACTTGAAAGATTCAACTCAGGATTAATCTTATAGCATACATTTCCAGCCTGAGTAAATGTTTTAAATCCTATGAGCAGCATTAAGATCACCTAAGAACTGATCAGAGAGACAAGTTTTCTCAGTCTCTACTCCTGAATCAGACATGGGGGAATAGGGGAGCAATGTGTGTTTTAATGAGCTCTCTGGGCGATTCTGCTGTACACCGAAGTTTGAGAACCACTGCACTAGAATACCTTTTGGTATGATAAATACTGTATCCAAGGGACTCCTTGAATGCACTATCCTAGTCCCTCAAGATTATCACACACCTGGGGAAAATACAACCTATTCTTTGACTACCAAGTTAAATTTTACAATCATGGATAATCATTTTCTTTGGCAGATCTTTTAAATCGTACTTGCAAATTAACTTTCACAATGACTTTTCAAGGTCTCAGTACTTACCCTTTATTATTTAGTGGTGATGTGGGAGACAGGGAAGGACAGGTCCTCTTGGCAGATGGCTCCTCCTCCTCTTCATCAGATGAACTGTCTATGGTTAAGTCAATCACCTCTACTTTCTTATTTTTATTTGAGGACTGGTGGTGAGAAGTCACCTGATGCTCCAATGTGGAGCTCAAGCATCCTGTGTGGGAATGATCAAAACACAAGGCAAAAAAAGACCTATGACACCTCTCTTTTTTTCCTCAGTGTGCCCTTATGGATTAGTTTATTAATTATAGTTTAAAACTTAAAATATTGCTGGGGTCAGAGAGTAGTAGCTCTGGTCCCCTAAGTTTAAAGATACTATTTATTATTGGTTGTTAAAGGGGTTTTTTTGTTTCATTTTGTTTTTTTGAAAGACAATTCTGAATTAGGGCAAACAATCAAAACATATGTCTATTTCAGAATAAAAGCAGCTTGAGGGTAAATACTATATATTACATATGTACCCGGGATACTTAAGAAATGTATCTAACATTTTTTAAAAGTCATAGTTTCCTTCTAACAAAAACATACTAAAAACCAGAAAAATAACATAAACGAAGAAGAAATGTTCATTAATCTTTACCAAATCTCTTAAAAATTTAAAAGGATACCATTTCAAAAGCATGACCTTAGAAATGACTTACTAGATTATGTTGCTTTTAAATCTCAATATCCCAAAATTTTAAAAGCTGGCAAAGTGAATTTAAAAGTTCTCTACTACTTCTGAATGTTTAATCAATAATTTCATAAGCTACCCATAAACTGCTATGTTTTTCAGAAATATATACTTTTTAAAAAAAGCTTATTTTATTTTTTTAGTAATCTCTGCACCCAATGTGAGGCTCAAACTCACGACCCCAAGATCAAGTGTCACATGGTCTGCTGACTGAGCCAGCCAGGTGCCCCCAGAAATACATGTGTTTTAATACTGAAAAGCAGGGCTATACCACAGCAGGGAGACTGCCCCACCCTTCTGGAAAACCATCAACTCACCATCAACTCCATTGTAAGAGGCAGAGACTTCCTGTACTTCCTTTTTTGATCTCATAGGTGCCCAAGAGCCATCCTCCTTAAACTGTATCTCATCGCAGTCTGTACAGTACTTTAGGATTTCCATAAACAAGCTACAAAAAATACGTGGTCCTCTGAATATCACATTCTAAATGAAAACAGACTAGAAGTATTGCTGTTCAAAAAACATTCAGATCTCCTACGTTTGGTAGAAGTATAAACAAGAAAGAAGAAAGGAGAACAGACAATTATTTGTTCTCAAAATTGAGGCCTATTTTAGAGAAATATTACTTAGATTACAGTACCTTATACAAGGTACCTTACATAACCATGAAAAACGAGGTTTTCAAAGATTTTTAAGAATAAATAGTCACAGAAAGCGGAAAGATGCCAAGGAAATAAAATTCTACAGTGTGAAAATAAAATTTTGTGTGTGAATGGTACATGAACAGCAGTTATTTCTGAGTGGGGACATCATTTCTCCTTTACATTCTTGTGCATCGTCCAAACTGTCCACAGTAAGCATATCTTATTGAAACAATACATACAAAAATAGGTACTGAATGGTACACATCTCCTTGAAAAATACCATGCCGACATTAAGAAATGAGATTTGCAAAAAATGTGTGGAAGTGTCAAATTCTAAAATGAAACCAATGGATAAAAAATATTAATACTGTACTATCACAATTCTAGAAAAACAAATATCAGAAAATACACTATGAAGCCCTTTTATTTTCCTTTTTCCATTTTTCTTTAAATGTGTGTATAGATAACATTTATGTGTGCACTGTCTTTTAAAAATAAAGAACGATCCCAGTTTATGGAGGAGGGGATCTAAAGCTATGTAATACAAAGTATTGGTAAAATATTACTTAACTTAGATTTATTAGTGATCACTGTCACTTCTGAACAATTAAACATAAAACATTTAAGTGACACATTTACTTTTTCCCCATGATTGGTTTGCCATCTTTCAAGTTCTAGGTGACACTGTATTGCTAAATGTATCCCCTTTCTAATGGTACAAATTCAGACTCGTGAGTTTTCTCAAAGGCTGTAGATAAGCTGCCTTAAGTGTTTTGCTGGTGAGTACAGTAACTACCAAAAAGATCCTTCTTTCCACAATTTATCTTTGTTCAGTGGCAAAAAGGACACAGAAGGAGGCTAGAGGATAAGGGGTACATTTAGAGAAACACTCCAACAAGATGTTTAGAAGGACAGATAAAACACAGGAGTGTTAAAAAAAAAAAAAATCACCACAAAAACCCCTGATTGTTGTGATGCTGGAGGCAGACAAGACAAAGACAAGTATTTCAGAGGAAAGAGAGAAACCAAGAAAGCTGCTATTCAGCACGCTGAACAGTTTTAGCAGCCCTTATGATGGGGAACAGGTATGATGAACCACAACTGAACCACGAGAAACATCTGCAAAAACAGGTTAACTTCCACTAAAAAGCCCAATTTGGATGAGCTTAAATTAGCCAGAGTTTCTCAGTGCTTTCACTTTCTCTGACATGGTCTGCATGACTAGGGGTAGATGGATTCATGTGAAGAACAGGTATAACCATACCCTGCTCAGAACCACTGGTACTTTAAATGGTAAAAGTCAGGAGACAAAGATGGTAAAGCGTGCGCTCCCCCAAACAGGAGGACGTTGACTTAGAAAGGAAAAATGCTCACAGTATTACTTACTTTAAAAAGAACTGATTTCTAGAATCAGGAAAATCCTAAAAATATATTACTCAGAAAACACTTCCTACAGAATTTCCATCCTAAACCTGACGAAGACAAATCCAAATAACAGATGGTCATGTCACAGTATAAGGAAACACAATAAATGGACATACCCATCAATGATAAGGTGCTCATATGGGGCCTTCTTATCACAGACAGGACAAACCCAGGTTGGTTTTTTCTCATTCATCTGAATATAGAGAGTTGCATCAAAACACTGCAGATGAGAACATGTCAGGGCCCGGCATGGAATTGTCAGCCGCATTTTACCAAGCTTTAAAAGAGGGAGACAAAAGTAAGTATGAGACAACTGTTATTCAATTTAAGTTTTAATAAAAATCTCCTGAAACACAATGCGTATGTATTCTGACTTAAAGCATACTATGGTTACTTTTCATCAATTTGGAAGAACGTTAAACACATTTTTCTATGAAACCTACCTGTTAAAAAGTTAGAGTATTTCTTTAGATATTAAACACAGTGACTATGGAAAGTCTACAGAAAGGGTTATTCCCTCCTCCCCCACCAAAGCTCTCAGATCAGCTTTTGGGGGGAAAGAACCACGAACTCCTTAAAATTATATGCAAAATTCTGCAAGTTTGTACATTTCCCCAGAGAGAGCACTCTACCAAATTCTTTTTTTTTCTAAGATTTTTAAAAATTTATTCACTCGAGAGTAAGGGGAGAGGGGCAAAGGGAGAGGGAGAAGCAGGCTCCTTGCTCAGCAGGGAGTTCAACACAGGGCTCAATCCCAGGATCCCAGAACGGGGCCTAAGCCAAAGGCAGATGCTTAACTGACTGAGCCACCCAGGCGCCCCAGTAAATTCTGAGTAGTCTCTGATCCAAAAAAGTTAAGAACCACTTTACTAGGCATTTGGGAAATGGAAAAAGAATGTCTTATTAAATACTGGAGGATACAGATATAAAGTTATCCAACCTGATCTCTGAATGAGGGTAGTTCACATGTGAAAACGGAACGAAGGGCAAGCACTCCCCAGGATGCCAGATGGCAGCTCTGAGAAGGAAGTCAAGAGCGTGCACTCTGTACTTCTTCCCTCACTGGGCACTAGCACAGATAATTCAGCAAACATCCGTAGACCTCCACCATCTCCACCATGTTATGAGACTTTCTCTTCTTGCCTTGCAAATGTTGCTTACGCTGAGGTTAAATAGAGTCTGTCCTATGAAAAATGAAACCAACTTCATCCGGTCCCTGAGCTGCTGGCTTGGGCCCAGGCACAGACACTGCGCTGAGAGCTATTGCATCACAGCAACTTCCCTGGAGGCCACTGCACAAAGCACAGCTGGGTTACCACTGTGGGGCCCCCGGAGGCAACAATGACCATATACAGTAGAGAAGTTACCTACTTTCAATAACCACACTGTCTGCTAACTAGAATTTCCCACATACTTGCAAGCTTGAAAAACATAAAGGCTTGAAAAGGATATGAGTTAAATGAGGAAAGAAAGAGGAAAAGGATTTTGGCTTAGAAGAATTTCAGGGAAATGTGCAATTTCCTAGGAAGTCTACCAAGGAAATTAACTGTCATCTGTGGCCCTAAATTATTGTTCTGGTACCAATGATTTACTGTGCCTCTAGGATAGGCACTTAACCTTTCTGGGCCTCTTTTTCTATCTCCAAAGTAACACTGTTTCCTCCTTACTTCAACAGGATGTAGTGATGAAGAACAAAAAGGCCCAGGCCGTGCTATAAGCTGATGAGAAGAGAGCAGTGCCAGCTTATAGTGTCAGAGGGATGGACAGGAGAGAGACAGAGCAATCGGACAGCTCCCTTCTCTGTGTGTGTGCCTAACTCCACCCTGTTCATGATTATGCACTACTTATGTATGTGTCCCCTACTATGAGAAATACATCAGACTCAATTCCTTATCCCTCGCACTTGGAAATGTATGTGCTATACAGCAGGAAGATGGTCATGTGTGTGGACTAAGGCTTTGGCTCTGCTTCACTGAGCAGCTCTACAAGGGACCACTCACAGAGCGTGTGGGGGCTGCACAAAGTACTTTACAAGGCAGGCCAGAGTATGAATTCTGGAGTTTTCTACCTAGATTTGAATCCTGGCCCCACTACTTACTGTGGGAATCCTGAATCTCATTTAGTCTCCCTGAGTCTCAGCTTTGTAAAATGGGGATAAAAATACCATCTACATCATAAGATTGTGGGATTTAAATTATGTTATGTTGTACTATGTTATGTTAAATTATGTTATGTGGGAACACCTGGGTTGCTCAGCTGTTAAGCATCTGTCTTTGGCTCAGGTCATGATTCTGGGGTCCTGGGATCGAGCCCCACATCGGGCTCTCTGCTTGGCAGGAAGCCTGCTTCTCTCTCACTCCCCCTGCTTGTGTTCCCTCTCTCGCTGTCTCTCTGTCAATTAAATGAATGAAATTTTTATAAATAAATAAATAAATAAATAAAGTTAGTTAGTTATGTGTCATGCGATGCTAAATTATGTCATGTGTCTGGCATATAGTAAGTGCTCAATACATGTCACCCATTATGATTAAAGTACAGAAACATTATCTGCTTCAAATCACTTTGTAAGCTAAAGGGAGACACACCCATATTTCAGCTCAGTCATTCTTCCATTCTATCCACATGTAAGATTAAACAACTTTTTACTCCCTTCTACTCTTCTACTACTCAATTTTTATGATTTGGTTTATACAAGCACTTGATGAAAACGCAAAAAAGAACAAACTAGTTCTTATAACACAAGAATCATGTATTTACTGTTAGCCAAGACATGTTGCATTAGTCCAGAAACATTTTCCAAATAAAGATCTGCTTGGTGGTGCCAAATTAAATTTTTATATCTTAAAGCAGACCTTAACTTACCTGTGAAGTACAAATTGCTACTGAGCAGGTATTTTTCCTAATGCTTAAATACTAAGTAGAGAAACCACAGACTGGAAAATCCTAGACAAATACAGTAATTGTAGACAAAGTCCACGTATTGCAGAATTGTAGACCACTTTGGATAGTATATGAAGACCATGCACACGAAGGTAAGACATAAAGCCGGTTTCAGAATCCAAGCCACAGGCCGCAGAACTTACACTCCGAAAAGCAGTTATTCTCTAAACAATCATCTCACAGACATTCCTCCCTCTAATCCTCCCTTGTCAGCTCATCTTTTTGGTGAGAGGGCTACTCTCAAGCCCTTATGATCAGCCACACTGACAAATTTACCCAGAGTCTTTAATGAACACTGCTACACGAAGGATGCAGGAAAGACATTTATAAATGGGTAAAGAAAGGAAAAGTTCACTTCCAAATGCACTGTTGATTAGCTGTCACAGAAATGCTTTGCTTCAAAGAATCACTAAGTGTTATGTGATAATACTCCTCATAGTTCTGATTTTAAAAACAATCTCTAAATCCTAAATACTTATCTACAAATGGAAATGGATTTCTCCAACATGCTATTAGGAGAAAAGCAGAGTTCTAAACAACATCTTCATCTTATCATTATCATGCCCATTTCCCTTTTCAGGATATGTGGATATTTACATCATTTGCAAACAAACACTCTGAAGTCAGCCCCTAAACAAGTCTTTCAATGCCACTAACCTTACTGTAACATATAATAGTACTATTTAGTAACTGAGCATGCTGCAGGAGAAAACACCCTATCTAGGTATGTTTATAGCTTATAACAAAAGGACCTTAAAAAGTCAATAATATGTATTTTTTCCTTATAAAAAGGAATAGTAATATCAAGAATAATTTCACTTCATTATCATCAATATTTCATAAATGAATTTCCAAGGAATTTTTTTCTTCTACCAATTCCAAGTCATTTTTATTGAAATTCATAGGTCTGAGGAATAAATATCTCTCAAAGTAGGTTCTCAAACATTCTCCCAGCTGTATTTTTTTTTTTAAAGATTTATTCATTTTAGAGAAAGAGAGAGAGTGCACAAGCGGGGGGTGGGGGTGGGGGAAGAGGAGGAATCCCAAGCAGACTCCCCACTGAGCATGAAGCCAGATGCAGGGAGGATGCAGGGACGTGGGGCTCGATCTCACAACCCTGAGATCATGACCTGAGCCGAAACCAAGAGTCAGACACTCAACCAACTGAGTCATCCAGGCGATCCTCTTCCAGCTGTATTTTTAATAAATCAGAACTAAAAAAATTCCCAAAGAGCAAAACCATTTCTAATTATTTTCATTGCCTTTAGCTAAATGGCACACAAACAACAGAAACTCATTTATTTTGAGCTGTGTGTATCAAAACAAGGGTAATTCAAATGCACAGTCAGACGTCATATTTACATATTTCAGAGGGAACAAATCTCTTTTATTATTCTATAAATTTGATATATAGATGAGTTGTCATCACCAAGTTTTACTTTTTAGAATAAAAACGTACCTAAAATATATTGCCTAGATTCCAGAATAATTGTAAAGGGATTTTCCCTTTAGCCAAACAGAAATCTATAAAAGTATTATAATTATGGATTATATGTATTTAGAGTTGTTTTTTTCTGTGATCTGAATTTTAAAAGCAGATGGCTGTTGCAACTAAAAAGGGAGGAAACAGGCAATATGGTAAGAAAATTAAAGATGGCCCACTAACTTAAGAGGTGTGAGAAGCAAAACATGATTAACATTTTCTGATAAAGAGATCACCTGAACTATGAAGTTCAAAACTAGTTCTAGAAGTAAAAACATCAAGATTTGTATTACAGTGCTTATCTCTATGAATAAATGCTTCATCTAATGATACAAACATCACATATATTAGAACAACTGTAAACGCTTTTAAAAGGATATTCAAGAAAAACAAGACTTCCTCCTGTGATTATGGAAAATGAAGCTTCTGTACTTTTCTAAACTTCTCAGTCTCTGAACTGGTATTGTATAATGGAATGGGATGGCAAGAAATCACATGGAGGAGGAAAATACATAAATAAGGGCTTGAGGGAAGGGGGTAGAATAAGTAGGATATCTTTTTTTGTTTTGCTTTTTTTTAATCTTTGTCTTCTTTCTATCTTCCACTTATTTGGTCTTTGAGCTGTTAAAAATGTTAAAGTGTTAACAAAATGTCAGCTTCCTTTGCACCATAATCTGTACGACATTTATCTGGTGGGGGCCTGGGTTATACGTCTGCCTTTAGCTCAGGTCATCATCTCAAGGTCCTGGGATTGAGTCATGCATCAAGATCCCTGCTCGGTGGGGAGCCTGCTTCTCCCTCTGCTTGTACACTCACAAAAATAAATAATATTTCTAAAAAAAAAAAAAAGAACA